GATTAGCCGGAACATACAGACAGACAGACAGACATACAAAACTTGTAAAATATGTTATTTTGGTGTATGTACCGTATTTATATTCATATGCAAGTAGTAAAAAACGGTTATTTCAATATTACAAACAGACACTCCAATTTTATTTACATGTATAAATGTATAGATTAAAAAAAAGTAACAGTCATAAGGCTAGTCGTATGCCTAATATATATAATAATGTAATAAATTCATTTAAACAGAAATTGCGGGAACATTATTTAAATTTCTAACTTTTTTACTGTCCTTCTCCTTTTTTCACATCTTTCTGATATATCCCTATAGTTCTCTCTATATTTTCTGTTTTTCTTACTTTCAATTTGAGACTGTACTTATAATTTGATTATCGGATCATTATGTATTTATTTATATAGAATATTTATACATTTATGGGTTATATTTATATATATATATTTATGTATGTATATTGTTACTTTTTTATAAAAATTTATATTTTGCTTTGTATTTATATATCTTTTTTTGACATTTCTTATTTATATTAGTGCGCCGCCAATAATCTTTCTCTGCACCACTCATGGTTGCCTAGTAATTAACGCGGCAAGATATTGAGTCCGCCACGTGTACAAATTTTTTTGTGCATTAAAGTTAAATAAATAAATAAAAATACACTACTGTTTAATGAAAATGCGTATTGTCTAGTGCTTTGAGATGTATCAATATAAGGTCAACAAAGAAGTCTGTGATGGTATATGTCTATCTCTTAAGGATAACCCACAATAACCATGTTTTATCTTTTACATTTAACGGGAATTTTTTTTATCGTATGTTTCCCTTAAAATCATGTAAACTATGTTATTATGTCATAATCTAAAGAAATAATAATATTTTATAGTGAAATATCCACTATAAAATACTAAAAAGTAGCAATGTAATTCGTTACGCGCGAATCGGCTGTTATAAGGTCAAAGGTCGGTGCACCCCGCGTATTTGATAAATAGTGCTTCTCTGGATGTCTTTAAGAGAAAATGGCAGTATGTACGTGTACTAGTGTTAAGTGTTAAGTTTTTCAAATGTACAATAAAGAATAAATATTTTTAAGTACAGTACTTACGTACATTAATATGTATATATTAATGTATCATAGTAAGTAGGTATTATACTTTTTACTTGTATCTATTGTTATCAAAATTAAATTATAAGTTCTTAACTTGACCACGACTATGTGGCCCTCTCTTGGCGCCAAAACGAGTGAAAAAATGAACACCATACGACGACGACGCAGTACCTATAGAGTGGAGCAACTGCTTATTCAGTTTTATTCAACTATTTAGTTCATAATTGATAGACCGTTACGGTATCAGAGCCAAAAAGTCTTCTTTCTTTATTTATGTACTGTTAGATGCGACATCGACTTTGTTTTATACTACACTATGTAATGATTAACCTAGCCTGCTTTCGGCTGGAGAGGACCACAAAATCCGCTCCTCCAAAGTTGCCGTTCCCAAGCCCGGATAAATAGCGAGGGTCTTTGTATACAGTATATGTATGTATATTATAAAATAACTTACAAGTAGTGTCATATTTATATTAATATATCCTTCTTCTCTTTCAAACTATCATATTTATTTCAATCAGCTGCACCTAGTAGGTGAGTCTGCAGCACATATGTATATATATTGTATCAATAGTGTATTTATAAATAAAATGTGCCTGGGCAAGCACCAGAACTAATTATAGCCTTCTTATATATATTTACCTATATACTATTAAATTTAAATAGCTTCCTGCACCTACCTGCGCTAAGGCCTGCGCAGTTGAGCGCCGTAAGCGGGGAAGACGGGATCCTGGGAGGTTGAGTCAATCGGAGGTCGGAGCAGTTACTTCCGGGCGACAACACGCCTCCTTTGGCCCATATTTCTGGCGAAACGGTCGCCTGAGCAGCCAGCCACTGCTCAGGAAATGGTCCAGTGCTTTACCGTCACAGGAGCACGGCGAGGAGTGGGAAGGTCTCTTCGGAGAAGGTAGTCGGCCATGCTGACGGGGTAAGGCACTGTGGAAGTTCTCTAGCCGCAGTTGTCCGAACTCCCGATGTCGCGCAAAGACGCCACCTTTCTGCTCCTAGATCCACTCGAGAAGATCCTGGTGCCATTGCGGCATCCCCATTTGCGGGCTCCGAGGAGGGTGGGACATCGAGTGGACGACTTTTAAATATTCTCACAATATGGACATCATCGATGACATTGAGAAACTGCTTGAAGGAAGTACCTTGGACGAAAATGAACGCCAAGAACTTTCATCCGATGACGGAAACTGTTTGGAGATGGTTGTTGAGCCTACAGGGACGGATGACCTAGGTCTAACGCCCAAAAAGGACTCAAAGCCAAAACCAAAACGAAGGAGGTTAACAGGAGCAGCGCGGAAACGCCTAAAACTGTTAATAGCCGCCAACATCAAGGCTGATGAAGCCTTAGAACTCTGCCGGAAGCCAATGCGAGACCAGCCCTCAGAGGTAAGATCCATCAAGCGCCCACGGTCAGAGGAGGTGTCCCCAAAGGAGCATACGCACAAAGCGCCTCGCGTGGCGCAGCCGACGCCCACCGGGAAAGGTACCCAGGCAGCGGAGACTGCAAAGTCACCAGCGCCTACTGTACCTCAGACACCTAGAGTCACATACCAGGCACTTGCGACACCAGGTGGCTCTTCAAGCCCAATGGTGTTTGCACCAACAAGTGTCACTAGTAGCTCAACTAAGCGCTCTACGAATACGGCCCACCAGTTGCGAACGCCTGCACCCAAGCAGCGCGTAACGACTACAGGGACGAACGTAAACGCAAAGGAGGAAACTGCAACCTATAAGGACGCTCTCAAATCGTTCCGAGTGGGGATCCGACACACGGCCCCAATGACGGACGAAATGATGAGCATGGTGCGCTCCTCAGTTCTCCGGGAAGTTGGCAAGATCACGGAAGCTGGGAAGGGCCCTCGATTTGTAGGTTGCAGTTTCAAACCTGGTTGGCTGCTAATCACCTGCCAGAATGAGCCGACCAAAATATGGCTGGAGAGCATAACGCCCTCCCTAAAACCCTGGGCCGACGCAGAACTCTCTGTGTTGGACGAGAGAGCGATGCCCAAACCAGCCATTGGAACGGCCTTCATCCCCAGTTCGGAGACAAGGTCGGTCGATGAGGCACTCAGAATGCTGAAGTCCCAAAATGACTGCCTAAATTCCGAACTGTGGAGAATACTCAACCGTAAGGCTGAAGAGAACGGTACAGTCCTGACCGTATCTCTGGACGAGCCTTCGGTTGACTTCCTCAAAACACAGGACTATAAAGTCAACCTTGGCTTTAAAAAGGTCCTGTTCCGGGTCAATGGGATCTCCACGCCTACACAGCAGCCTACTTCGGACGGTAATGGAAGATCTGCCACAGAAATACCCACACCATCCGAAGCGGTGAAGGGCGTAGACACCAACGCCAAACCCGCCAGAGGCAGCTTTCCCCAGCCAAAGGGGACCTCGCAGACGAGGATCCCCAGTTTCAAGACGGGACGGAAAGATCGCGGCAGGAGCGCCACAGCTTCCAATCGCAACCCAAAGGGACGCCCACGTCCCACAGGGAAGGCGAAAGGAAGCTGCTAACACGCCCACACGCAAGAAATGTATCAGAGCCAACATTGTCCAGGTCAACTTACATCATGCTATGGCAGCAACAGCGGTCATAGAAAACCTCTTCCGCAAAACGACCTGGACCTTGCTCTGATACAAGAGCCATGGCTCAACAAAGCCACGCCTTTAGGCCTCAATGCCTCAGGTAATATTCTTTTTAATACCACTGGCACTAAACCTAGAGCATGCATTCTTTTTAATAAGAAACTAGATTTTCTGACTGTTCCAGAACTATGTACAGATGACCTAGTGACAGCCTTCGTCAATTTCCCTGGATGCACAGGGTCAAAAGTACTGGTCTGCTCTGCATACCTACCTGGACATGATGAAAACAACAAAATCATCAAAGACCCGACAACCGGCCTACAGCCTGTGGTGGAATACGCCCGTAAGCACAAGGCCGAACTCCTCGTGGGCTGCGATGCAAACGCCCATCACACAAACTGGGGAAGCTCTGACATCAACACCAGAGGTAAGTCACTTGATGATTTTATACTAACCAACTGTCTTCAAATCCTAAATACAGGGTGCACACCGACGTTCGTCACTGCCACAAGACAAGAGGTACTAGATATAACACTCGCGACCGACAAACTGGCCGAATATATCACTCATTGGCATGTCAGCAATGAGAACTCCATGTCTGATCACAAGCACATCAGATTCACAATTGAGGCTGCAACAGACTCAAACCCCATACTCTACAGAAACCCAAAGGCTACAGATTGGCCTAAATACAGAGACAGTCTTACAAGCCTAATTGCGGACCTTCCGAAGAGTATCGAATCTCCTCTAGAACTAGAAATCGCTGTGGACATACTTCTAAGTGGCATAATAAGTGCCTACCAGAACAACTGTCCCATCAAAACCAAAACCGCCAAATGTAAAACACCCTGGTGGAATAAGAGTCTAGAAAAGCTGAGGAAGAAAACTCGCAAATTATCCAACAGGGCTAAAAAGGGACCTTTCGAATGGGCCCAATATAGTAAAGCCCAAACGGAATACTACTGCGAAATTAGGAAAGCCAAAAGAGCATCATGGCGTGCTTTCTGCGAGGAGATAACTCAGACTCCCCAAGGATCCAGATTACACAAAATGCTTGCCAAGGCGCCAAATAACCAAATTGGACTTATGAAAAGGCCCAATGGTACCTATACGACATCAGAGGAAGAAACTCTACAGCTGCTATCTACAACCCACTTCCCTGGTTCGGTTCATATCTCAAGAGATAAGGAGAATCCTCCAAGCTCACATCTACAAAAGCCCAACCATGAGGCGTGGAACAGAGCTGCGAGGAATTTCGACCAAAACAAATTAGATGGGCTATAAAATCTTTCAAGCCATATAAATCATCGGGAGAAGATGGAATTTTCCCGGCCCTGTTACAACAAGGGCTTGACATCCTATCTCCCTATCTGGTAAGAATATTTAGAGCCAGCTTTGCCTGGGGTTTTATACCAGAACCATTAACGAAGGTCAAAGTTACCTACGTACCGAAAACCGGTCGAAGAGACTACTCGCAGCCAAAGTCTCACAGACCTATAAGCCTAACCTCTTTCATAATAAAAACCATGGAAAAGGTTCTGGACCAACACATTAGAGCTACAATCCTCGAAAATGCTCCCCTGCACAGGAATCAACATGCCTACCGCAAGGGACATTCCACAGAGACCGCCTTGCTCGAACTCACCGACAAGGTCGAGAAGGCCTTTGAGGACAAACAAATAGCTCTATGTGCATTTCTCGATATTGAGGGTGCTTTTGATAACACGCCCATAGAGACCATCTCACAGGGACTCATCCGCAAGAAAGTGGATGAAACCACCACTCAATGGATTAAAGCAATGTTCTCAAATCGAACCATTAAAACTACTCTTCACAATAGTACGTTAGAAATCCGACCTACCAAAGGATGCCCTCAAGGAGGCGTTTTATCGCCACTGCTGTGGCTACTAACGGTAGACCAGCTCTTAGATGTTATGACCAAAAACCAATTTGAGGTACAAGGCTACGCAGACGATTTAGTAGTCATGATCAGAGGGTTCTGTGCAACAACAATATCAGACCGCATCCAAAGAGCACTAAACATCATAGTTAAATGGTGTAAGGAAAATGAATTATCAGTAAATCCTGATAAAACAGTAATTGTTCCGTTTACAAAAAGGAAGAAACTTGACAAACTTGTCATGCCTAAAGTAAATGGAAGAATATTAGAGTGCTCAAAGAAGTCAAGTACCTGGGCGTAACCTTCGACCAAAAACTGACATGGAACACACACATAGACAACATAACTCAAAAGGCGAAAACATCCCTAGGTATAAGCCGACGGGTAGCGGGGCCCAGATGGGGAATCAACCCCAAAATTGCCCTATGGCTTTACACAGCAGTGGTGAGACCGCTTACCACCTATGCCTGCGCTATCTGGTGGAGGAAAACCCTCCAATCCACAGCCGCCACCAAGCTAAACAGCCTACAGAGAATTGCTTGTCTGATTATTACAGGAGCCATGAGCACCACGCCGGGAGCAGCTCTAGACGCATTATTGGACTTGACGCCCCTTCCTTTATTCATACAGGAAAAGGCGAAAGCCAATATGCTCAGAATAAGTTCCCAAAGGAGGATATCTTGGCATTCCCTGGCCATAAAAACTATACAAGACTCGATTATGAGTGATCCTATTCTGGGAATGCCTGAAGACAACATGGCACCAGAGTGTAACTTTGTACAATATTACAAAATCGAAATATCTGGAAGAGACGAATGGCAAAATAACCATACACCGTCTCACTCAGAGCATGACCTAGTCTGGTTTACAGACGGGTCCAAAATAGGAGATGATGTAGGATGTGGAATATGTGGTGTAAAACCCAAAATCTGCAACTATATAGGCTTAGGAAAATACGCCTCAATCTTTCAGGCAGAGACTTACGCCTTAATTAGATGTCTGGAAGTAATCCTAAGCCTCAACTACATCAATCAGAACATATACATTTATTCGGACAGTCAAGCTGCTCTACTAGCACTTAACTCGTACGAAATCCGTTCTAAACTTATTAGAAACTGTATCCTGCTACTAAATGAAGTAGGAAGCAGAAATAATATTATTCTGAGATGGGTCCCCGGGCATTCAAATATTGAAGGCAATGAGAATGCCGACCATCTGGCAAAGTTAGGGGCAAAAACCGTCCAACTGGGCCCCGAACCCTTCTGTGGTGTGCCTCGTTACCTAAAACTGGGACATCTCAAATTAATAACCAAACGAGAAGCACTGAATCACTGGCAAGAAATGCCAGGATTAATACATTCAAAAGACCTTATATCGGGCTTCTCGACCAAATACTCCAATCGATTACTGCTATTGAGTAAAAACAACATATGCATGATGACTAGGGCCCTCACAGGACACTGCAAATTGAACAAGCATATGGCTAAGCTAGGCCTATGCACGACTAGTATCTGCAGATTCTGCCAAACTGAAGAGGAAACGCCGCTTCACATCCTATGTGGTTGTAGCCCACTCATGCATAAACGAAATATCTCCTTTGGAAAGTTTACACTCTTTCCCGAGGAGATAAAAACGATCGCTCCTAAGAATATCCTTCAATTCTTGTCCCTGACGGGTCTAGGTAGCGAACTCTGAAAAGGGCGAGCACAATAGATCTTTGTAGGTCGCAGTGCTACAGGTGCTACACATCTGACAATAGCCCAAACAACCCAATAAAAAAAAAAAAAAAAAAATGTAATGATTGATATACCTAAAATATCTGTGGTTTGGACAAAAATTCAAAAGGTACTTTATTTTGAAAAAGTATTTTGAAAATACCTATTTTGCATTTAGTATTTGAAATACAAAACACAAAACTATTTTTGTTTTTAGAGTGACATTTCTATGAATTCACTGTCGATAGCGAGCGGTGCGATGGAAAAAGATAACCGTTTATAAAAATATAATAAATAGCCCTGGACAATTAACACAGATTGATACTGAACTGATATAAATAGATATTTTTATTTTGTAAATACATATAAAACACCCAGACCGATGAAAACAATCGATGACCGATGAGTACAAATGTTTGCACCGCGACCATCGGATGTAAAGTGCCCAAAGAGGTGTTTATATATATATATATATACATATATATATATATATATATATATATATAAACTACTATAACTTGACTCCTATCGCGTATATCTCAGGCGGTATGGCAACGTCGCATTCTATTTTGCGATGTGGCCATATATATTCGTCGATAGTACGATATACTCGACACATTTTTTACTAATAATTCGTGCATGACTGGCTCCGAACGGCTAAATTTTTGGTATACACAAAGACTTTTTGGCTCTGAATATATTTCAAAAATCAATTAATTATGTTGATCACTTTATATACTCGTCCTTACTGCGATACTTATTTTCATCCGAATATATATAGATACCGTAACGGTCTATCAATTATGAATTTATTAATTTACTAATCTAGATATTTTATATTCGCAATGCTCCATACATAGTAACTCCACCGTAGCAGGGGGAGCACCGTACACCGCACCCGCGCACACAAACAAATTAGATATTTTTTGAATACACAAAGACTTTTTGGCTCTGTATATATTTCAAAATCAATTAATTGTGTTGATCACTTTATATACTGGTCCTTACTGCGATACTTATTTTAATCCGAATATATATAGATACCGTAACGGTCTATCAATTATGAATTTACTAATCTAGATATTTTATATTCGCAATGCTCCATACATGCAAGCTCCAGCAACGGTGGAGGCAGGGGGGAGCACCGTACACCGCACCCCGCGCACACAAACAAATTAGAATAAATTAAATTCATAAGATTATTCATATATTTCGACTGCCTCGGTGGTCACACCGCTTTACATCCGATGGTCGCGGGTTCGATTTCTCGCACGGTGCAAACATTTGTACTCATCGGTCATCGATTGTTTTCATCGGTCTGGGTGTTTTATATGTATTTACAAAATAAAAATATCTATTTATATCAGTTTAGTATCAGTCTGTGTTAATTGTCCAGGGCTATTTATTATATTTTTATAAACGGTTATCTTTTTCCATCGCACCGCTCGCTATCGACAGTGAATTCATAGAAATGTCACTCTAATAACAAAAATAGTTTTGTGTTTTGTATTTCAAATACTAAATGCAAAATAGGTATTTTCAAAATACTTTTTCAAAATAAAGTACCTTTTGAATTTTTGTCCAAACCTCAGATATTTTATTTATTTTAGGTATATCAATCATTACATAGTGTAGTATAAAACAAAGTCGCTGTCGCATCTAACAGTACATAAACAAAGAAAGAAGACTTTTTGGCTCTGATACCGTAACGGCCTATCAATTATGAATTTATTATACCTAATCTAGATATTTTATATTCGCAATGCTACATACATTGTAATATCCGCCTCCATTCATTGTAACGGTGGAGGGACTAAATAGTTGAATAAAACTGAATAAGCAGTTGCTCCACTCTATAGGTACTGCGTCGTCGTCGTATGCTGTTCATTTTTTCACTCGTTTTGGCGCCAAGAGAGGGTCACATAGTCGTGGTCAAGTTAAGAACTTATAATTTAATTTTGATAACAATAGATACAAGTAAAAAGTAGGTATTATATTAATGTACGTAAGTACTGTACTTAAAAATATTTATTCTTTATTGTACATTTGAAAAACTTAACACTTAAGGACTTGTACATATACACGTACATACTGCTATTTTCTCTTAAAGACATCCTGAGAAGCACTATTTATTAAATACGCGGGGTGCACCGACCTTTGACCTTATAATAGCTGATTCGCGCGTAACGAATTACATTGCTACTTTTTGGTATTTTATAGTGGATATTTCACTATAAAATATTATTATTTCTTTAGATTATGACGTAATAACATAGTTTACATGATGTTAAGGTAACATACGATAAAAAAAATTCCCGTAAAATGTAAAAGATAAAAAATGGTTATTGTTGGTTATCCTTAAGAGATAGACATATATCATCACGGACTTTTTTGTTGACCTTATATTGATACATCTCAAAGCACTAGACAATACGCATTTTCATTAAACAGTAGTGTATTTTTATTTATTTATTTAACTTTAATGCACAAAAAAAATTGTACATGTGGCGGACTTAATATCTTGCCGCGTTAATTACCAGGCAACTATGAGTGGTGCAGAGAAAGATTATTGGCGGTGCACTAATATAAATAAGAAATGTCAAAAAAGATTTATAAAGATAAGCAAAATATACATTTCTATAAAAAAATAACAATATACATACATAAATATATATGTAAATATAACCCATAAATGTATAAATATTATATATAAGTAAATACATAATGATCCGATAATCAAATTATAAGTACAGTCTCAAATTGACAGTAAGAAAAACAGAAAATATAGAGAGAACTATAGGGATATAACAGAAAGATGTGAAAAAGGAGAAGAACAGTAAAAAAGTTACAAATTTAAATAATGTTGCCGCAATTTCTGTTTAAATGAATTTATTACATTATTATATATATTAGGCATACGACTAGCCTTATGACTGTTACTTTTTTAAATCTGTACATCTATACATGTAAATAAAATTGGAGTGTCTGTTTGTAATATTGAAATAACCGTTTTTTACTACTTGCATATAAATATAAATACGGTACATACACCAAAATAACATATTTTACAAGTTTTGTCTGTCTGTCTGTCTGTTTGTTCCGGCTAATCTCTGAAATAGCTGGACCGATTTTGACGGGACTTTTTTTGGCAAGTAGCTGATGTAATAAGGAGTAACTTACGCTACTGTTATTTTAGAAAAATAAAATAAAATTTCACGCGGACGAAGTCGCTGGGGCCAGCTAGTCTATAGATATACCGAGATTTAATGTTTAAGTTACCATTATGTAAATTTTACTGTAATGTTACTATTACGCTATCCTACACAATTTGTATTATTTTGGATGAATAAATAAATAAATAAATAATAATCTATACATATAAATAAAATTGGAGTGTCTGTTTGTAATATTGAAATAACCGTTTTTTACTACATGCATATGAATATATATAAGGTACATATACCAAAATAACTATTTTTATAATTTTTGTCTGTCTGTCTGTCTGTCTGTTTGTTCCGGCTAATCTCTGAAATGGCTGGACCGATTTTGACGGTACTTTTTTTGGCAGGTAGCTGATTTATAAGGAGTAACTTAGGCTACTTTTATTTTAGAAAAAGAAAGTTAAATTCCACGCGGACGAAATCGCGGGAACAGCTTGTTTTTAATAAAAACGGTTTATTCGATAGAAAAAACATCTTTTTTGTGGTACTTGAGGATGTTGAAGCCTGTTGTTTATAATATTGCAATAATAGTTTTTGACTACGAGCATATGAATATAAATACGGTACATATACTAAAATTTATTTTTATACAATTTTTGTCTGTCTGTCTGTCTGTTTGTTCCGGCTAATCTCTGAAATGGCTGGACCGATTTTGATGGGACCTTTTTTGACAAATAGCTGATGTAATAAGGAGTAACTTAGGCTACTTTTATTTTAGAAAAAATAAAGTTAAAAACCACGTGGACGAAGTCGCCGGAATAGCTAGTGCATAATATATTAGAGACACCTACCGCTTTGATTCCAGCTTGATGGTCGAGGGTTCGATTCCTCGCACGCTGCAAACATTTGTATTCATGAGTATGATTGTTTGTAACGGTCTGGGTGTTTTCTATGTATAGATAATATATATTAATTTACGAAAAAAATCTTTGTATTTGTATCAGTTGTCTGGTACCCATAACACAAGCTTTAGCTAGCTTAACTTGGGTTTAGATGAAGTTGTGTGAATTGTCCTGAGATTACTATTATTACTATAATAAATCTTTTCAAATCAGCCGATGTTTATTTTTGCCATAATACGTGCTGTTACCATGTAATAATATTACGTACTTACTGTTTGATAATGTGATAATATTACGTACTTATTACTGTTTTAAATGTGATGCGTTCATTATTTAAATTTCCTTTGAATTAAAGACAAGTGTGTATATATATATATATATATATATATACGCGCACATAGTTGCACACTTATGTTGATCCAGCCACGACCCGTAGATACATTTGCTGACTCCACTGTCTCTCTCTTTCTACCACTATAACGGTATCGTGGCGGAACGGCAACTTGTTGCCGTTCCGCGTTCCCGCGTGTTCCCTAGATAAAGTATTCGTCGATAGTACCTGTACTCGATATATATTTTTTCAACAATTTCCTGCAATAGTGACTCCGTATCAGCAAAATTTTTTAAATGCAAGAACTTTTTGGCTCTGAATATATTTAGAAAATTATTTACTTGTGTGTTGATGAATTTATATACTAGTACATGAAGTACCTAAAATACTTGTTTTGATTCGAATAGGTAGCGATATTATGAATTTATTATACGTAATCTAAAGATTTTGACGAAATAAAAGTAATTAGTTATCTGTTAACATTGACTTCATGCTGGCACCAGTATTATCAGATGATGAACATACTCTTCGAAAACTTACAGCAGAAATATCGTGTTTGGACTCATTAGATTGGTCTCGATGAATAGAGTTTAAAAAACTTAAAATAAATGGTAAATTAGAAATAACGTATAAAAACACTCTACACAAAATTCAACCACTTTAAAACTTAATAATAATAATTAGGAAAAGATCAAAGCTATAAGTGCACTGAAAGTAATTGATGGATGGATTGATTGATTGATATCCACACAATATTTTCAGTACTAAACAACTCTGTTTGTTCAGTAAAAGTGTAAATACACTGGTAACCTTTAATCATATTTTATATGCAAACATTACATATACAAACCCTAAAGTTTTATTTCAGAATGGCCAGTAGTTTTGAAGAAATAAGCCTTTGAAATTGTACGTGTAACTTATATGTATACTAGTTTTTTCACGAGAATGAACAAAAGTAGAATGGCCCTAGTTGGTAGTGTACCTATTGTTGTGAAGTCAAAGCGCTTACTTATTTTATTTACGCAAATACTACACTTTTGCGATTTGTGCTCATACAATTTTGTAGTTTTTATTAAGTTAAAAATATAGAAGTCGTACAAGTTACTCTGCGTCTTTAATTTCATTATTCCCGAAAATCCGCTGTGATTACTCCAGAACATGGTCCTATATCGAAGCCGGATGTGAATTAAATGCGGATCAGTTATTATTTTGTGGAATTAAATAGAAATACAAGAAATAAAAGAGAAATTAATTGGATGCAAGTTGACCGGCAGAACTACCTACCATTGGATGTGAATCGAGTGTAATTTATAGTGGTGTTAAGTATAAATTACTATATAATAAATTTATCCCAACACTCTACAGGTAATGTTATAAGTAAATCAAAAACTTTATTAAGGTTAGTAAACGATAATTACGTTATTTATCTGTATCACATTATTTTAACTTCATTGGTTTCCTACCTACTGCATTGTGAATAATATTAGTACTTTTTCATAATTTGCTAAAATTAACTACAAATCTACTTAATTAAGTATAGTAAGCACTAATGCTACATTGTTTGAGTTAATTATCAAAATATATGCCTTATAATTGCAAATTTCAATAGTTATTCACGTCAGTTGTATGTAAGTAAAGTAGGTATAACTAATTCTTTTGTGTTAAATGTTACTTTGGTGTTTGGTGTTTAATTTTATTGTCAGGTTCTATATTATATTATAAATTTAGGTACTTAAGGAATCTGTACATTTATGTTAAACAAATAATTTGCCGTATGTACGACAGCAAGTTAAGAAACAATCTAGTATTTTCTCTATTAATGTCAATTTGAATCGGTACTTATGCTTGTGCATATGTAATATATGTAATGTCACAACATTTACAGTACATTTACTAGATTTATATAATATACATATAAATATATTTCTTTATCGAATTAACATATTGTTAGCTTAATATTTTGTATTCATACCTATTGATCGTAGATCTTTATTTCATTAATTAGAATTAATTTTTTAATTGTATAAATTCCAGGTCGACAACACTCGAATCCCATAATGACCGAAGAAAAGGAGTTAATAAAAAAGCGAGGCAGTTTTAAAGGCCGTTTAACTGCATTTATTAATTATTTGCATACACTAACTGATGAACCGTTAAGTCTCTCGGATGCCAGAGAATTACAATTACGTATGGGTAAAATTGAGTCGTTGTATGAACAGTATGATCAGGTACAGTTGCGCCTTGAATGTATAGTTGATAATAGTGAAGAGCAATTTAAAGAGCGCTCCGACTTTGAATCACAATATTTCAAGGCAATCGCGAAAGCCCAAGGTTTACAAAATGTTAATGTTGAGACTATGAGCAATATGGGTAGTGATGGAGGTACTCGAGCGAGCAATAATCATAAGCTGGTGCGTCTTCCGACCATCCAGCTACCGCGATTCAGTGGTTCATACGATGATTATTTGGAATTTAGAGATACCTTTACTAGCCTTATACACAACAATGATGAAATAGACGAAGTGAATAAATTTCACTATTTGCGTGCATCGTTAGAGGGTTCTGCTGCCGTGGTAATTCAATCAGTTGAGTTTTCATCTAGTAATTATGCTGTTGCGTGGAAACTTTTGTGCGATAGATTTGACAACAAACGTCTGTTGATACAAAATCATGTGTCTTCCTTGTTCAATGTGGAAGCAATAACAAGGGAGTCATCAGCAAATTTAAAGCGGTTAATTGATCAGGTAAATAAAAACTTGCGGGCACTTGAATCATTAGGTGAACCTGTCAAACATTGGGATACCCTTTTAATCCATATTATTACCCATAAATTAGATAGTAAAACTTATAGAGAGTGGGAGGAATTTAAGGGGCATTCACATAAAGATACTTCAATTACCTTTGACACCTTTCTAGAATTTATCCGAAATCGTGCAGATTTGATTGAAACATTAGAGCTTTCACGTGTCAATCAGGGCAATTTAAATCATAAATCGACTATGAAATTAAAATCTATGGTTTCAGTTCATGGCAGTCATCCACATCAGAATTCCAATACAGCAGAATCACATAATCGAATCTGCCCTAAGTGTAAGGGTGACCATAGTCTAACCGGTTGCCCCCAGTTTCTTGCGTTGAGCGTTGAAGCGCGCCTAAAGGTACTAGCCAGTTTTAAGGTATGTTTCAATTGCTTTCGTGTAGGTCATTTTGCTAATCTATGCAAAAGGCCAGGTTGCAAAATATGCAAGCGTCGACACAACACTCTGATTCATGCAGCCAATGATCATCATATTCGTAATGAAAATAGAGTCGTATCTGAAACTACACCTTTAGCGTCGTCTTCAACGACTGCTGCTTCTGACAATGTAACTTTAGCAGCAAATATGTCTAGTTATAATAAAATTCAATGTGATGTATTATTATCTACTGCGTTGGTAAAATTATATGACAAGAATAATCACGAACATATAGTACGTGCAATATTAGACAGTGGTAGTACATCAAGTCTAATGACTGAGAGATTGTGTCGACAATTAAATTTGGAAACCTGTCAGGTAGATAAGTCAATCATGGGTGTAAATAACGCAACTTTACGCGTAGGCAAAACTTGTCATGTGCACATGACGTCGTTGAATAACAGTTTCTCTTCTGAGCTTCAATGTTATGTTTTGCCATCAATCACAAGTAATGTACCCGGTCACGAAATTAATATTTCTAATATTGACATCCCTACTGACATTAGTTTGGCGGATCCTACGTTCTTTGTACCAGCAGATGTTGATATCTTGATTGGTGCCGATCTCTTTTGGGATTTGGTAGGGACGCGGAGAATAATATTAGGTAAGAAAAAGCCTGTATTGTGCGAAACCAGATTAGGGTGGATAATTTCAGGTCCTATCTTTAGTCATCATGACACAATTATGCATTTAAATGATATAAAATGTAATTTTAATAAAATTGATTCTAGTGCAAGTCATGATTTGGACGACATTCGAGCTGACTTGACACGATTCTGGCAGCTGGAAGAGATATGCTCCAAATCAAATTATTTTCCGGAAGAAAGAATGTGTGAGGAACATTTTGTTGCGAACACAACGCGCCTCGATGACGGTCGTTTCTGCGTCCGTATACCGCTTAAACATGATTCTTCTGTTTTAGGTAATTCGTTTCATCGAGCGGAACACTGTTTATTTTCTTTAGAGCGTAGGTTGACGAGCAATCTTGAATTGAGAGATATGTATAGCAACTTCATGACAGAGTATAAATCGCTTGGCCATATGTCAGAATATAAACAGCCTGAGGTAGATGAAAAGGAATATTTCATTCCTCATCACGGTGTTATGCGAGATAGTAGCACGAGCACCAAACTCCGTGTTGTATTTAATGCCAGTTCTCCTACGACCTCAGGTGTTTCTTACAATGACATTCAAATGATTGGTCCCACCGTCCAAGATGATTTGATATCCATATTGCTTCGATTTAGGCAGCATAAATATGTTTTGTCTGCAGATGTTGAAAAAATGTACAGACAAATAATTGTCCACCCGTCTGATAGACATCTGCAGCAAATACTGTGGCGTAGTAATGTAGCTGAGCCAATTACAAAATTCATATTGAACACGGTCACATATGGAACATCCAGTGCTCCATTTCTGGCTACACGCTGTCTAAAGCAGTTAGGAATCGACTGCAAGGATGATAAAATTTCCGAGATCATTCAACATGATTTTTACGTTGATGATCTATTAACGGCGGTAACGATTTGGCTGAAGTTCAAGCTATACGTAAGCAAGTTACTAATGTACTTGCTTCTGCATGTATGCCATTAAGAAAATGGAAATCGAATAATCCTCTTTTGATGATTGATCCTCAGGACGTTCAAGCATCATCATTCGATTTGAATATTGGGAGTGATGAGCCAAATAAGTTATTAGGTCTTAGTTGGCACACAGATTCTGATGAACTCTGTTTCCCAATAAGTTCTCTAGTTCCTAATGGTAATACAAAACGTGATATTCTTTCGATGATTGCTCGAATTTTTGACCCATTGGGACTTTTGGCTCCATGCATAATTAATATGAAAATATTGTTACAGCAGCTTTGGATTAAAAATTAGCTTGGGACGAACCATTAACTGATGATATTAATCGTCATTGGAATTACATTCGTAAAACTTTGCCTCTTTTGAACGATCTTCGTGTACCGAGGATTGTTATTTGCGACTCCTGTAAGTCGTTAGAGTTGCATGTTTTTTCGGACGCTTCAGAGCGTGCATATGGAGCTTGCATTTATTTGCGTAGCGTCAGTACTTCTGGTGAAGTTATGGTTCGATTGTTAACGGCTAAGAGCCGAGTAGCTCCTATTAAGCCTACCACAATACCTAGGTTGGAACTGTGCGGTGCGTTGATGGGAGCGCGGCTATATGATAAGGTCATCACGTCGCTTAGATCGGGAATAGATCAAGCTTACTGCTGGACAGATTCCACCATAGTTTTAGGTTGGTTACGTATGCTGCCTTCTAGACTTCAGCCTTTTGTACGTAATCGTGTTGCTGAAGTCTTAGAAAGGACAGAAAATTGTACATGGCGACACGTACCAACTGATGAAAACTCAGCAGATCTAATATCTCGTGGTGTGGATATTAGTAATCTGCAAGGTTTAAACTTATGGTGGTCTGGTCCGCAATTTCTCATGAATGACTTGTCGAAGTGGCCTACGCAACTGAAGTGTGTTGAAGTTCTCCCAGAAATTAAACCAGACATATCTCTAAATGCTATTGTTATTAACAATAACAATTCCTGTGGGCTCATTGAATTTAGTCGCTTTTCTAATTATTTAAGACTATTGCGATCAGTTGCCTATGTTTTAAAATTTATCAAATATTGTAAAAAGGTACTTGTAGTATCAAATTTTTTAGAAGAGGTAGACTTACGCGACGCCTTAGTTTTAATTATTTCAAATAGTCAATATGAATCCTTTCCCGAGTACAAGTTACTGTTAAATAATGATAATTTGCCAAAAAACAGTCAACTATTAAAACTGAACGTCTTTATGGACGAAAATAAATTAATGCGCGTCGGAGGTCGTATTGATAATTCAAATTTTTCACAAGATAAAAAACATCCTATAATTTTACAGTCCAGTCACATTTTTACAAAACAGTTTTTGTCTGTCTGTCTGTTTGGACCGATTTTGACGGGACTATTTTTCGCAGGTAGCTGATATAATAAGGAGTAACTTAGGCTTATACTTTTATTTTAGAAAAAATCTTGTTTCAGACAGACAGACAAATAAAATTAAATTCCACGCGGACGCAGTCCCGGGTCACAGCTAGTTCCTAATAAATGATGACATATAAATAAAACCATTCTATTTTACTTTTGAAATTCCTTAAAAGGCAAATATCAGTAACCGAAATTATCTGAAACTAATGGATGATCCGAAATAATTTCATATCCGCATCCGTATCCGTATCCGGTATAATAATCATTCCTATATCCGAAACCTATCTGTATCCGTAATTTCATATCCATAACATCCCTGATTATTTATTTATTCATGACTGCGTATATTTATATAAAAAAAGTATATCCATCAATTGAACCCAAATACGAGTTTTTAAATTAAAACTATATGGCGCTAGAACAGTTATCCACTATTGGTCATATAAGAAATAATTTGTATTACAAATTTACAATACAAAATAGCTTTTTTGTACAAATCGGTGTAGACATATATACCTTTACTAGCTTTTACCCGCGGCTTCGCTCGCGTTAATTTATCCCCTTAGGGGTGGAATTTAGCAAAATCCTTTCTTAGGGGATGTCTACGTCATAGTAGCTTTATGCATGCAAAGTGTCAGTCCGATCGGTTTAAAATTGATAAAGTTTCATATAAACTTTCATCCCCTATTTTATCCCTTTGGGGGTAGAATTAATCAAAATCCTTTCTTAGCGGATGCCTACGTCATAACATCTACCTGCATGCCAAATTTCAGCCCGATCCGTCCAGTGGTTTGGGCTGTGCGTTGATAGATCACTATGTCAGTCACTTTTGAGTTTAATATATTTAGATTTTTGTTTCTTTCAATGTCATAACTCGGACGGTACAGTGTCAAAAAAAATCGTACGTACGTGGTAAAAATTGTCCTTTAAAAATACGAATATATTACTTTAACAAAATTCTTGACACTCTCGAGTACTCAAAGAGTACAATATCTCTTGATGGAGCAGCGAAGGTCCTGGTATTTACACATGTAGTACTAGAAGCGAGTCTTGGAATCGGCCAAGTTGACACTAGTGGCCGTAGACAGCTGGACTCAGCTGGTGCTGTTCCAGGTAGGTCTTATAAACAGTACTTCTTATGATGGAGCAGCGAAGGTCCCGCTTGGTACTTACACATATATTTGTGGGAGCGTGTCTTGGAATCAGCCGAGTTGGCACTGGTGGCCGCAGCCGGCTGGACAGAGCTGGTGCTGCTCGAGCCAGGTCTTCATGTGCTGCAGGTGACCGCCGTGGGAGCAGCCCTGGCACCACGCGTACAGACCGCGGACCACCTGTCAACAGATGATGGTGAAAGAACGTCGTGCTTGGTGTGATGGCAGGTAATGGTCGTGGTGGAGACGCGTCCGAGTCGCGGTGGTGTCCGGACGTGCGTACGGTGCCTGGTCTGGAAGTCAGACTACTACCTGCCTCGCTCCATGCTGTGACGTCTCGTTTGTGTAAACAAGTCGCGACTTGTTTGGCGGGCGGCAGACGGCGCACAGGTCGGGGGAGGCGCGGGGGGCGCACCGGTCGCAGGGCTGGCGGGGGGCGGGGGGCGGTACCTGGCGGCAGACGGCGCACAGGTCGGGGGAGGCGCGGGGGGCGCACCGGTCGCAGGGCTGGCGGGGGGCGGGGGGCGGTACCTGGCGGCAGACGGCGCACAGGTCGGGGGAGGCGCGGGGGGCGCACCGGTCGCAGGGCTGACCTCCAGGGGCGGTACCTGGCGGCAGACGGCGCACAGGTCGGGGGAGGCGCGGGGGGCGCACCGGTCGCAGGGCTGGCGGGGGGCGGCGGTCGATACCACGACGCAGAACCCGACCACGACGACGCAGGCGCGGGGGGCGCACCGGTCGCAGGGCCCAAGTCGGGGGGCGGTACCTGGCGGCAGACGGCGCACAGGTCGGGGGAGGCGCGGGGGGCGCACCGGTCGCAGGGCTGGCGGGGGGCGGGGGGCGGTACCTGGCGGCAGACGGCGCACAGGTCGGGGGAGGCGCGGGGGGCGCACCGGTCGCAGGGCTGGCGGGGGGCGGGGGGCGGTACCTGGCGGCAGACGGCGCACAGGTCGGGGGAGGCGCGGGGGGCGCACCGGTCGCAGGGCTGGCGGGGGGCGGGGGGCGGTACCTGGCGGCAGACGGCGCACAGGTCGGGGGAGGCGCGGGGGGCGCACCGGTCGCAGGGCTGGCGGGGGGCGGGGGCGGAACCTGGCGGCAGACGGCGCACAGGTCGGGGGAGGCGCGGGGGGCGCACCGGTCGCAGGGCTGGCGGGGGGCGGGGGGCGGTACCTGGCGGCAGACGGCGCACAGGTCGGGGGAGGCGCCGGGGGCGCACCGGTCGCAGGGCTGGCGGGGGCGCGTGCGTCGTCCGCAGCCCCCGCAGCACGTGGCCACGCTGGTGGACTGCTGCGACATCGACCACACGCTGCTCAGCCACGCGCACCGGATCACCTGCAAACAGACACATGTGTAATCTACGGGTGCCATATATGAGGATTATGAACCCCCAACTGCGATTCATGGTGACCCACACCTGCCTCCCAACGACAAAAATGAGAATCCTTATACCTGGGTGGTCTTTTTTAGTATTATTAACGGGTTTGCTCCTGGTCTTACCTTATCTGATGGGAAATGATGGCGAGACCCAGAAAATTCAGCATAGACTTGAATAATCTAAAAATTCAAACTTCAACCTAAAGAGTTTTATTACTAACCAAAGTTTCGGCTATTTTGTACGCGCAGTTTTTAGTTGACAGTCGTTTGAACGAGACGATGTGTTTTTGTAAAATTGGAAAAATTGAGTAACGACTATATTAAATTTATGTTTTTGAAAGGCTATACGCCTCCTTAAATCAAAGATAACTTGGACTCTCTCTATGGAGACTCTGCACCATCATTTACAGTAAAATCTTGGGCAGCGGAATTTAAACGTGGCCGTAATAGCTTAGGAGACGATTACCGTTCGGGACATCCAAAAACTGTACCTACTGATAGTTATTAACTATACTATCTGCAGTTTTTGGACTTCCCGAAAGTTCATCGATAACATTGCCAAAGTTCACCAAATAATGTTAGACGACCGCCGAGTTAAAGTGACAGAGATAGAAGAGGTAATGAAAATGTCCAAAGTAAGTATCTGTCACAGAAATCAAAATACTGTCATGAGAAACTGTCTGTTGGTTGCAGCATTTGCTCACATTAGACTAAAATCGTGTTCTCCATAACTTTAAAGCGAATACGACATACAGTATTTGATGATCACTAACCTCTGTAGCGACATTCCACAGCTTATGCCGTTGTAACAGCTCTATGTATCCTAATAGCCACTGTTCCTGAAGACTCTCGTCGATGTACGGGAACAAGTCACTTCTGCAATTCAAATATACTTTCGATTTCAAATCCAATATTTCGGCACTGCCATGTTTCTGTCTCATACACGCCTTTTCTTTACCTTCCACTAACATTTACATTTCTACAAAATATCTCATCTGGAAATGATTTAGTAATGAATGTCTGCTGTAAAGTAGTATTAAGTGGAGGTGTGACAGGACCTGTACTCCTGCAGCACGATCATGACGGCGGCGGCGGTCTGCACGTCCCCCAGGTCGGCGTGGTGGCGCAGCGCCGCCGCCAGCAGCGGCGCCACGTCCAGCGGCACGCGCCCCGCGCCCCCCGCACCGCCCGCACCCCCCGCACCACCCGCACCACCCGCACCACCCGCCGCACCCACCCCCGCCTCCGCCGCCGACGACGAGCCCTCCGACGACTCCTCCATCTGTATCCATAAGAGTTACGAGAACGGGACCTAACATCGATCCCTGAGAAACGACAAGTAAAATTTATGTACGTATTCATATTATTTAATTTTGAGTACGCGTACATATTTGCAAGTTCTCTACGTAACGATTCAATTGGTAAAGATAGGTCTGTATGTTTAAATTAATACACGGTACAAATTCAAATTAAAAAATAATTTATTCATGTAGAACATTTCAGCCGCTTATGAACGACAAAATATATGTGTGGTATAAACTTGCCATGTTGAGGGATGAGTGGTGGGCGGGCGGCGGTGCGGGTTCGCTGCCCGGCGACGACGAGCCCGGGGACGAGCCCGCGACAGGCGAGCTTGGTCCGTAGCCGGGCCCGCAGCTCGGCCCGCAGCCCGGCCCGCAGCTCGGCCCGCAACCCGGCCCGCAGCCCGGCCCGCAGCCCGGCCCGCAGCCGGGCTCGCAAATAGTGCCCGCGCTCCACCCTGCACATACAGCTACCTCACTAACTATTAAACATGCTAACATCGCCTCATATATACATGGAAATCTATATTTATGAGTACTAACAACTCTAATAAAATTAAAGAAATTTAAGGTTTCCATCATAAGTAGATTGCTATGAATACAAGATATCAGACACACTCACCGTCACACAGGTCGCGGTCGTCGCGCGGGAGGTGCGGGGCGCGGGCGGGCGGCGGCGGGGGGTGGTGCGGATGGTGCGGATGTTGCGGATGCTGCGGATGCGGCGGATGTTGCGGATGCGCGGCGCGCAGCGGGAACGCCTCCTCGGGCAGCGTCCAGTCGGCCGCCTCCACGTCCACGTAGTGCGCGGACGCGGCCGACACCCAGCCCGCGCTCTCTGCGCACGTGAACACACAGGGGATTTCGATCAAGTGTCTCAATTTAATTATTACTCAATTGCAATGAAATGGCTGTACGGATCCCAATTTAATAACCACTCTATTGTGCTTACATGGATGTATCCATCCCAATTTAATTGCCACTCAATTGTGCTTACTTGGCTGAATCCATCCTAATTTAATTGCCACTATATGGATATACGGATGTCATTTTTATTTGCCATAGTGATTAATACATCCTAGATCAGTAATTCCTAAAGTGGTCTATCGACTTCTAGGGGTTTATGATAAACGACAGCGGTCGTCTTGTTGTTTTTACTTCATGTTTTTAACACTAAACTTTACAGTTATAAATTTACAAAAAATCAATACCAGGTAAGAATGGGGCAAAATATGACAAGGAGTTTAACGACGAATGAAGTTTGGGAATCTCTGTCATAGATGAATTCATTAAAAAAAATGCTAATTCCTTCTTTAAAAGGCCGGCAACGCACTTGCAAATCTTCTGGTGTTCTTCTGCTCATGGGTGGCGGTGTGAGTTTTAAACTCATTTATTACCTAAGTTATAAAAAGATAATTAAGAATCAAAGAGAACGTATAGAGACCGTCAGCAGCACGGAGGCGGCGCGCGGGCGGGATGTAGACGGTGAGCGTGGGCACGCCCAGCACGCCCGAGTTGTGGAACTGCGCGCCCGCCCACTCCTCCGCCTCCGCCTCCTCCTCCGCCTCCTCCGCGCCCGCCTCCTCCACCACGGGCGCAGGCTCCGCCGCCGCCGCACTGCCCACATACACCCACACGACACTCTTAGTAAGCGGCCGAAACTTAGTTACATTCACGATTGAAACATTAATGATTCTAAATCATTATCAAGTTTGTTTAACAATTAATCATATTGAAAGGTTTTTTCTTTTTTTCATATCTATCTGCAATCAGCCAATTAGCTTTTATCAGATAATTAAAAGTTGAAATTATTTTAATTGGAAATCTTAATCAGTAATCAGTATCATTTAATTGAAAGTAACTTTTGTGGATGTGGATGGGGATAATGATTATGCTAATGATTACGATGATGACGACGATGATTATCATGATGGTGATGACCTATGACCATTTCAACTTCTCGGTTATACTGGCCGAATCTTAAGGGAATGTGCGCTGAAAAGCATGTATTCTCTTGACCTCTACAAATAATTTCCACTCCTGTCCCTCGTCTCTCTCCCTTCTAGGGTAGCGGACGAAACATTGACAGTTTCGGTGCCGGGTAGTACTCCGTCTTCTCGTACTCGCTCCGCCTCCGGTGCTACCGATGCGCGAACTCCCGCACCTCCAAAAGGCCCAGCGGTTCGTCCAGTCCTCCAGGCGGTTCGGTGGGTTAGTTTATGTGAGATGCGAGTCGGTGTGTACGTACCGTCGTGCGGGCGCGTGCGGCGCGCGGTGGGTGGTACGTACCGTCGTGCGGGCGCGTGCGGCGCGCGGTGGGTGGTACGTACCGTCGTGCGGGCACGTGCGGCGCGCGGTGGGTGGTACGTACCGTCGTGCGGGCACGTGCGGCGCGCGGTGGGTGGTACGTACCGTCGTGCGGGCACGTGCGGCGCGCGGTGGGTGGTACGTACCGTCGTGCGGGCACGTGCGGCGCCGGCCTGCAGGCGGCGCGCGCCACGTCCCACACGAGCGCGGCCAGCGGGCGGCGGTGCGCGCGCGCGACGAGCGCGTTGTGCGCGGCGAGCGCGTGCGGCGCGCGGTGGGTGGTACGTACCGTCGTGCGGGCACGTGCGGCGCCGGCCTGCAGGCGGCGCGCGCCACGTCCCACACGAGCGCGGCCAGCGGGCGGCGGTGCGCGCGCGCGACGAGCGCGTTGTGCGCGGCGAGCGCGTGCGGCGCGCGGTGGGTGGTACGTACCGTCGTGCGGGCACGTGCGGCGCCGGCCTGCAGGCGGCGCGCGCCACGTCCCACACGAGCGCGGCCAGCGGGCGGCGGTGCGCGCGCGCGACGAGCGCGTTGTGCGCGGCGAGCGCGTGCGGCGCGCGGCCCCGCAGCCGGTAGCCGCGCGCGCAGCCCACCAGCGGGCCGTGCGCGCGCGCCGCCGCGTGCCGCGCCACGCCCGACGCCGCGCCGCCCGGGAACGCCGCCTCCAGCTCCGCCTGCGCCGCGCCGCCCAGCGCGCCCGCCGTCGGCTGCTTGCGCCTGCAACGCGCCGCGCGTCACCGCCCCGCCTCCGCTACGGTACCCCCCTCACACCGCCACCCTCGACGCGGGTAGCGGCGGGCGCCGCGTACGACCATGTCGTCCCGCGTGTACTCGCCCCCTTCCCTCACCCCTCAGCTCACTCTTCTACTACTCCCCCACACCGCCACTCTCGACGCGGGTAGCGGCGAGCGCCGCGTACGGCCACGTCGTTCTGCGTTTACTCGCTTCATCCCCCCACCGCTCAGCCCAGGCCTCGCGCGTGCTACAGCGGCGGCGGCAAAAACCGCTCGGGCGCAGCGTACACCATCTCGCCCCGCGTGTATCCGCCCCCGTCCCCAACCACCTACACCCACCTACACCCCCCCACACCCCCTCACCGCTCATCCCAAACCGAACGGCGACAAATACCGCTCGGGCACCACCTAGCCCCCATGTTCCGGGAGAAAAGGAATTGTTAGTAATGTAAACTCCTGACTCCATTGCTAGCAATATACCATGTCAGTTTGACCTCCACGCGGTTCCCCCTAGAACCACCATCATAATAAATTCTTTGTGAATTTGTCACGATGAGCTAACTAACCTGACCTCATGTTCATCTTATCATCCTCCACTGGTACCCCGCCAGCGCAAACCATTAGCGTAGGCGGAAGCATCATTCCATTATCATCCATAAAAAAAGCCCCCATGTTCCCCCATCAGCCCCCCTCTCCCCCCTCACTCACCCCAGTCCGGGCGGCGCGGGTGGGCGCGCATGCAGTAGCGGCGGCGGCAATGGCCTTTCGGGCGCTGCATGCGCTACTTCTCCCCGCGCCGACACACACACGCCCTGCGGGTTCGCCCACAACACTGGATGCGCCGCCTCCGTGAACCGATGCCGGTACAGGCTGCAATCCTTTAACGACACGTTTTTACGCTACTATCAATTGTTTCTCAAATATAAAAAGAAGAAACTAAATATTAAATAAATTTTGACGTCCTGTCACAATAACTCATCATCACTACCATAACCATCACTATATACATCATGAGTGTAGTACCCTGCTGGTGGAGAGGAAGGCGTGCGGCGAGGCGAGCCAGGCGATGGCGGTGGTGACGTCCCGGTGCTCTGCGAAGGTGGCCAGCGGCACGTGCGGGCGGCGCACGTCCCACACGTGCACCGCGCAGTCCAGCACCAGCGCGCACGACGCCACCTGGTACCTGCACAAGCACCCGCACACGTACAGAAATCAGAACATCAAACAAGCTAAACGGACTTACGTACAATATACATGAAGTGTCTATGACATTTTAGAGCGGGAGTGTGTACACGTCCCTTTAAAGGTTTAGGTCTATGAGCTACTTCGTCAAGAACTTGGGAGCTTGTGATGATACAGGTTAAGGAGCTAAAGGTGGCACGTATAGAAAGTACGCTGCTACAATATAATATAATTATAAGATTTTTTTTTATTATCATTATCGATTCTTTACATTTTTTTATTTGGTGTGATTAAGATTGTTGCGTGAATGTGTCGCTGTATGAACCCGTAAAGCAATATTTAAATGAAAAGAATATAATCGTACGCAATGACGTTGATCATTCAATTGGAATATTCGAGAAAAAGTGAGTACACAAAGAGAACGAGTAAGAAGACAAGCACGCGTGTCTTCTTACTCGTTCTCTTTGTGTCTTCTCGCGCACTCCAGCGTACATAAATCGTGTGAGTGAATGTATCGCTGCATGAAGCCGTAAAACAATATTTAGAATGGAAAGAATATATTCGTACGCAATGACGTTGATCATTCAATTGGAATATTCGAGAAAAAGTGAGTACACAAAGAGAACGAGTAAGAAGACAAGCACGCATGTCTTCTTACTCGTTCTCTTTGTGTCTTCTCGCGCACTCCAGCGTACATAAATCGTGTGAGTGAATGTATCGCTGCATGAAGCCGTAAAACAATATTTAGAATTAAAAGAATATATTCGTACGCAATGGCGTTGATCATTCAATTGGAATATTCGGGAAAGAGTGAGTACAAAAAGAGAACGAGTAAGAAGACACGCGTGCTTGTCTTCTTACTCGTTCTCTTTGGTTTGCATGGCACTCCAGCGTACATAAATCGTGTGAGTGAATGTATCGCTGCATGAAGCCGTAAAACAATATTTAGAATTAAAAGAATATATTCGTACGCAATGGCGTTGATCATTCAATTGGAATATTCGGGAAAGAGTGAGTACACAAAGAGAACGAGTAAGAAGACACGCGTGCTTGTCTTCTTACTCGTTCTCTTTGTGTCTTCTCGCGCACTCCAGCGTACATAAATCGTGTGAGTGAATGTATCGCTGCATGAAGCCGTAAAACAATATTTAGAATTAAAAGAATATATTCGTACGCAATGACGTTGATCATTCAATTGGAATATTCGAGAAAAAGTGAGTACACAAAGAGAACGAGTAAGAAGACACGCGTGCTTGTCTTCTTACTCGTTCTCTTTGTGTCTTCTCGCGCACTCCAGCGTACATAAATCGTGTGAGTGAATGTATCGCTGCATGAAGCCGTAAAACAATATTTAGAATTAAAAGAATATATTCGTACGCAATGGCGTTGATCATTCAATTGGAATATTCGGGAAAGAGTGAGTACACAAAGAGAACGAGTAAGAAGACACGCGTGCTTGTCTTCTTACTCGTTCTCTTTGTGTCTTCTCGCGCACTCCAGCGTACATAAATCGTGTGAGTGAATGTATCGCTGCATGAAGCCGTAAAACAATATTTAGAATTAAAAGAATATATTCGTACGCAATGGCGTTGATCATTCAATTGGAATATTCGGGAAAGAGTGAGTACACAAAGAGAACGAAGAAGATACGTGTGCTGTCTTCTCGCGTACATAAATCGAATGTGTTTTTTTCCAATAACTATCAAGGCAAAATGGCGGATATTCGACTAAAGATACAAATCGATAATTAGGTCTATTATGAACTCTTGGATGTTAATTTAAATAAAACTGTAGTATGCGATCAAATAACTTTTGAACAGAACTGAACTTACTTCCTCTGCGGTCTCCATTTCACGTGCCCCACTGATGCTATGGTGTATATTGTGTGCTCCAGATTTGGTTTTGCATGGACGTCCCACACCTAACAAACAAATGCATTGATGAACTGTTTATTTAAAGCCATAGAAATAGATAAATCTTATATATAAAATTCTCGTGTCACAGTTTTCGTTCCCATACTCCTCCGAAACAGCTTGACCGATTCTCATGAAATTTTGCGAGCGTATTGAGTAGGTTTGAGAATCGGCCAACATCTATTTTTCATCCCCCTAAATAGGGGGATGAAAAATTGATGTAGTCCATTGTAGTATTGATTCTAGTTGAATTTTTTTTTTTCTCCGAGTACATTTGCGATCAGTCCCAGGACTATAAGCGAATATGTTCTGTGATGCTATCATGTAGAGCGGCTTCCCATTGGAAACCTTACTCATCTGCATCCCAGAGCTACTGCCGATCTTCTAGCTCCAGGATATGATAGCGTTTTAGTCGTCTCACATGTTGTTCTATGGTGAGTTGTCGAGCAAGTTTGTTGGGGTGATGAATCAACCGTTCTTTATATTTGGCTGCCAAATTCCGAATTTCCTCCTTCACTGTTCTTATTTGAAGGTGATCATGGACTTCAGTGTTGGTTATGTACCATGGTATTTGTGCAATGGTTCTTAAGATTTTGTTTTATTGGCGCTGGAGAATATTTATGTTGGTATCACTTGCGCTGCCCCATAGTTGCAGACCATACGTCCAAACAGGTTTCAAAATAACTTTATAGATGAGGAGTTTGTTGTCCATGGACAGTCTAGAGTTCCTTCCTAGCATCCAATATAGACTATTGTACTTTAGCTGTAGCTCTTGCTTTTTGCGATTGATGTGATATCGAATAGTTGAATTGCGATAGTTGAATATTATTAGAGCTTTTGTATTCTTGCATTTTCTGACAGTGGTTTAGGGTTTACTGCTTTTGTTATGAGTATGAGATAGCCCATCTTTAGGCATCATACTATCTACCTATACTAATATTATAAATTAGAAAGGTCAAAGCTGTTTGTAACCTAACTAACTAAACGACGGATCATAATGAAATTTAAAGATATATCGTATCACCAGGACAGATACTGGTCTACCTTCCATCCCAAAACAAACAGACGAACTCGCGAGAAACTAGTCTATACTAATATTATAAAGTGGTAATTTAGTGTTGGGTACCCAATTTACAGACTATAGGCTGTAACATTGCGCTACGACCAATAGGAGCGAAGCTATAAAGTTAAAAATATTGGAAAAACAGGGAAAATATGGAGCAATCGCTGGTCAGCTGGTATTTAATATTTATCTAATTGTCGTGATAAGGAAAACACGACTGCACGCACGTCTAGACAGACGGACAGTGTTATCAGCTGACCCACATACAAACGTTACGGATATTCAAGTAATCACTGCATTCGAAGAGGCGGTAAAAATTACTTAATTTTATACCATGACGATTTACTCAACAACATCTAATTCAAAGCTAAGCTGAGTTTGAATTATGGATACTAGACAACTGATATAAATAATTTTTCTTTGTAAATACATATATAATATACATACAAAACACTCAGACTGATACAAACAGTATGATGCTCAAGAATAGAAATATTTGCACCATGCGACGATTTGAACCCGCAAGCATCGAAAATAAAGCGCAGTACCAAACCACTACACCATCAAACTGATCTATACATATAAATAAAATTGCAGTGTCTGTTTGTAATATTGAAATGACCGTTTTTTACTACATGCATATATATATATAAATACGGTACATACACCAAAATAACATTTTTTACCATTTTTGTCTGTCTGTTTGTTCCGGCAAATCTCTGAAATGGCTGGACCGATTTTGACGTGACTTTTACTGGCAGGTAGCTGATATAATAAGGAGTAACTTAGCCTAAGTAACTTTTATTTTAGAAAAATAAAGTTAAATTCCACGCGTGAACAGCTAGTTAATAAATATTATACAAGTTTAACCATACCTTAATAGTCTTGTCCCTGGAGGCGGTGGCTAACCAGGGTATCTCCGGGTGCCAGTCGCAGGCGAACACAGGTCCGGAGTGAGCGGTGAACTGCTGCAGGCACCGCTCGTGCTTGCGTACATCCCACAGTTGGACGTTGCCATTCTCAGAGACGGCCGCGAAGGTGTGGGCCTGGTGCGGGCTGAACTGCACGTCGCGGATGGACTCCGTGTTGCTGGATATTAATTGACAAAGATTCATGATATGTCAGCCGTTAACTAGCTTGTTTTGAGAGCTGTATTAATTTTTTTGAGATACTATAGCTCACATATATAATATGATTATATATAGCTATATATAATATGATTTGAACAATATATTACTCCCTGGCTCAGTCAGTATTCGGTTACTGTGTTACAGTTTGGGGTGGAGCTTGTAAAACACATATGATATCATTAGAGCGAGCTCAAAGATCTCTTCTAAAGACAATGACTTTCAGTCACTATAGATTCCCTACAAAGGCCTTATACGAAAAATGTCAGATACTAACAATTAGACAACTATATATATTTCATCTGACTTTAAAACAGTATAACATAACTCCATACAATACAAATGACAACAAAAAAAAACGCACTGTAACTAATATTTGCGTTCCTATCAAATGTCGTACAGCCACCTACATTTCTTTTATTAATTCGTGTTTTTCTGTATCTCATGTATGTTATGTGTCTGTAATTGTGAATAAAGAATTTATCTATCTATCGGTTTACATTATTATAGCTAGTCATGACCACATAAAGTATTAACACTACTACTAACAAACAAGTATAGAAGCCAACTAATAGAAGCTGAACCCATCTGACCTGATAAATGTACGCGCCACCTCCTTCATACGCAGGTCGAAGCATTTCATCATACCATCCTGCGAGCCGGAGATGAGCAGCGCTGGCTCTGTGAGGTGGAAGCTGACCTGCCATAAAATTAACATAGTATCAGCTTATTTAGAAATGAGGGAGTCATCATTGCCTTGCCTTAACCCATTATTTGTGGTCGGCGCAGTATGTCATTCTCTTCCACTGCTCTCTATCGGTCGTCATATCTGAGCATACTCTTATTTTATTCATATCATCTTTCGCACAATCCATCTATCTTTTCTTAGGGCGTCTCCTCCCTTTACATCCATCCACATTCATATATATTCATATGAGAAGTGAGGGAGTGAACAAAGAAAAAAATCACTTCAATTCAACCATTCTTTCTGGTATAGAGAAAATCTCATAGATTTTCTCTCTCAGCTTTGTGAGTTGTATAAGCAGTACAGATATACACACTGTCACTTTCTAACATGTTACATGTTGATTTGGCATTTACAATTTCCAACAAATATTAATAATAATCTCAGGGCAATTCATACAGCGCCATCAAGAACCATGTTAAGCTAGCTAAAGTTTATATTGTAGATACTAGAGAACTAATACAAATACGTAGATATTTTTTTTTAAAATATATACATATTATACATAAAAAAACACCCAGACCGACAAACAATCATACTCAAGAATACAAATGTTTGTGCTGTTGCCATTTATCTATCTATATTGCACCTTATTGACTGTCCTCTTGTGGTCTGAGAATACATGTTCCTGTTTGGATCGACCAGAGCGGCCGAGGTTCCACACAACCACTGCTCCATTTGTAGCTGCTGTTGCTAATGTGTTCTCTAAAACATAAAAAAATTATTATATTTTTTATTCACTTGAATTTCTATGTAACTGTATATGAACTACATTAGAAATTAATTAGTTTATTTGTGTGCGCACCTCACGCAAATTAAAGATGAATTGGCTAACAGCTACATCAAACAAATTGAAGGTGGAATTGGAGTAGTATCAACATTTTCCACAATCTTCTATCATACTCTTTAAATGTATCAACATTTAAAGATTATGATAGAAGATCATGGAAACTGGCAAGAACTCCACTAACAAAGGTTTGTTTGGGTTGCGAACACTGATTAGACTATTTGCTTTTGCAATAGCATATGCTGATGATCACTCTATTCTCCCAAGTTTGAATTTAAAAATTAATCTGTATTATTGTAAACATGTATATTAATTTGTAGTTATCTGTATGTTTATGTATGTGTATATACATATATACATTCTGCCAATTTAATCTAGACCAGTTCCCAAATAGTTTTTGCTGCATACCACTTCAAAAAAGACCCGAAACCTTGCGTACCTCTTATTGTAGCAATCACACTAATATTCTAAATGTGAAAGTTTGTGAGTGTGTGTGTATGTTTGTTTTACTGATAGCCGCACATACCCCTTAATGCATCTTCACATACAATTAATTGGGAAACACTGATCTAAATAAAAGCTATTTGTAATAAATATAAACATTATTAATATTTGGTAAATAAACATATACTAATAGTAATAGACTATAATAATAGTATTATTATATTTTAACTGTTAGACCTACAATGAGAGTCACTGGCAGTTTTTATATTCTTTTATCCATATTCAAAATATGATGATCTTTATATAATTTTTATTTTATAATACTTCTGTCACTGCGCTCTGCAATAAAGGACGTCTGTTAAAACATCTAACTATTTTCATTAATTTTTACTGGTTATGGGCAAACATGCTTCAACCTAATACCCAATCTATGGAATCTCAACGTGGACCGGCCACCAGTGCATCGGGTGTAACATATACTAATAGTAATAGACTATAATAATAGTATTATTATATTTTAACAACTCTTTTTTCTTCTTTTATTTGCTGTAAAATAAAATAACACTCACCCACACTGCCCTTAGTCATTTTATATTTACTAATAAAAACAAATATTAGGAATATAATTAACAAAAAGTACTATATAAAAGTACATACTTCCAAATTGTTGGAATTTTGAGTATACATTTATTTATTAATATTGATTTGTAAAGTATTTTTAATATGTATTAAATGCCTATGCATAAAAAATATAAATTACTGAATCGAAGAATATTATATACCTTCAATGGTGCTCCAGGCGACATCAATCGATGAAAAATTAAGATTCAAGTTTTTGCCGACTCGTAGATTGCACAGCTCAGCAAATTCATTATCACCAATTGAAAATACTTTGAATACTGAAAAATAATTTATTTTTACATCATATTATAAACCTCATATATAGATATTTATAAAAATAAAATAAATTATAGTAGTATATAAGCAAAGAGGTTTTGAAGCTGTTTGAATAGATATTTAAATTATATAAATAAAAGAGCGTAGTAAGATAAAAACTTAGAAGTAATGTAATATAGATATATTACCATTTCTTCCAGCAATTACCACTTGGGTACAATCCTTGTTGAGGGCTAGAGCATTCGCCGGGCCCTCTTGTGAGACGCAGATAGTGTTAGACGGAATCATTGTTTAAAATAAATACACACAATTCGAATCAAAACTTCATTACGTAAAATGTTTATTTTTAATTTGTAGCACAAAGCAAAATAGAATACAATTATTACAATATCGAAACGACAGTCAGAAATTTTGTTATGAATGAATTTATTTCACGATACCGATTCGAATGAATTTGACATTTGTGAATTGTTGTTGTTATTGTTGTTTTGACATTTTTGACGTTTAATATTGGAAACCTTAGACGAATTTTCACCGTTGAAGTTTATGTAAGAGGTGTATAAAGTATATTCTATGACCGACATAACATTAAAATAATTAAAAAAATGTAAATGGCTATATTACAAAGCATTATAAAGTGCTATAGGCGATGTACACTTATATTTCGTAAAATAATATATTGGGTGTCACAGAGGGAAACGCACTTAAAGCAATGAAAAATTGAAATCAAATCTTGCAACACTGCGTGAAACGTCAGTTTAAACGTCAAATCCGAATATATATTGTACATTTCCATTTTTTCATTTAAATCTTTGAAGAAATAGTAAAACATAATATATTATTTATTCGAATTAAAGTGAAAAATAGATTGGGTTACAGTTAATATGTCTAACAAAGTTCCTTGATATTAACCCGTTATTACTATTTTAAGACAATGGAAAGTGGCGACAGAATTTTGGTGGCTGCAGGACTTACCGCCGCAGTGGTGGTCGGTGCCTTCGTTCTGTGGGGTCCTGGGGGTGCGCCTCGCGTCCGCAAGCGCCGGGGACAGATTGCAGGCTTGCAGAACTTGGGTCGAACGTGTTTTCTCAACACACTCCTACAAGCACTGGCCGCTTGTCCCACTTTCATAGAATGGTTGAAGAAGTACGCAAAAATGGATGCTCACAACAGTATGATCACTACATTATACACAGTTATTGAAGGTTTGTCGTACATTTATTATCGATTTTTCCATAAAAGTATTATTAATTAAAAAGAGTCTTGTCTGTGACTTTTTCTTGACTAAATAGCTGTACAATATTTAATGAAATTTGACATTAAGATAAATTGTATCGTAGAAACAGATATAGCCTATGCATAATCTCAAAAAAGACAAAGTCAGGAATATAAAATAGTGTAGTTTTTATACTTTCTTTACAAATAAAAATAAAATACCATCTTGATCATCTGGATGAATGGCGGTCCTCCACAGTGCTGTTTTCTAGAAACTTTTTGCCACACACAACTACATTGTGGAATCACCTTCCAGCAATGGTATTGGTTAAACCAATACAATATTGACACGTTCAAGAAGAGAGCTCATTCTTATATAAAAGGCCGACAATATACTTGTAATTCCCCTGTTGTTGTGGGTGCTCATGAGCAATGTTAATCACATACCATCAGATGAGCCGCATGCTCCTTTGTCCCCTGTGTTATAAGAAAAAACCACAAATAACATTGTAATGAATCAAAAACAGTCTATTAAAATTGTATATTAAATATGGTTGTAGGAATTGGGATGAAATTTTTACAGAATATGTAAATGTAAATGTATGTAAATGTATGTTGGCCAACATAACAAATATCTTCCAAAGTTGTACATAAGTATTTTTGTTATTATTATATTAATATGTCATGCCTAACTTTTTTAATTTAAACCCTTTTTTTCCTTTGTTTTCCTTATCTGGGATCAGCCAATTATCTTTTATCAGATTTTATAGCTTTCATTATCTGTCACTTTGAGTTACCACATCCAGTAATGTGATCCTCCTTTTATATACATTGCTGTTTTAAATCGTAGTCAGATGTGACCTTTCGGCCTGAATACATAATTCCTACAGTCCAAGAGAGTTGCTGCTAAAGGGTTGGTATGGTGTTGAATCTTTGCCAGTAAGCCTTACAGGAGCATTTTATGTCTTTGTGTGACGTTAAATCTCTGTGTAGTCATGTACCTTCTTGTTTTTTATGTACCAAGGTGCATTGGTTATGATTTAAACCTCTTATTATATAATTTATATGGACTGAGTAGTATGAAATTTCACACACTTACAGTTTACTAGCTATGCCCATGGTTTTTTCCGCATTCATCATCCAATATCATCATCATCACTACACGCACAACGGCCCGAATGAGAGGCTAATTGCGGAAAATGGAGTCCAACCGACATCATCATCATCATCATCAATTGCAGTGTCTGTTTGTAATATTGAAATCACCAGTTTTTACTACATGCATATGAATATAAGTATGTACATACACCAAAATATAGTGATTTATCGCGCAAATTAGTGGTTTATTGTGGTGCAAAATAGAAGCTTGAAACTACTCCAACTCTATTGTGGTTAAAACAAAAGAATAAACACTGCGACCAAGCAAAAAACTTCAAAATCAAGTAAGACGACTAAATATATATATAACAACACATATACGAAAACAAAATATTTAACGACCAAAATTCATAAATTGACAACTATCACAAGGAAACGATCACTGACCAGTCTGACAACTGACATTGAAAGAGACATTAAACGTCAAACTATTAGTCCGAAATACGTCATAGTGTTTCCAACATAAAAGCTAAACTACCAAATAGTAGAAATCCATAATGGCCAGCCAAAATACCGCGGTGATCACATTAGACCAACTGAGAGAAGAACTACATAAACAGACCACTGAAATATCAAAAACAATTGATGAAAAAATACAACCATTGATAATAGAAAATAAAGAATTGAAGCAGGAGGTACAATCATTGATGGTGAAGATTCTTGAAATGGAAAAACAAACTAGAAAAAACAATATAATACTGCATGGCGTTACTGAAAAGGAAGAGAACTATACAGAGCTTCAAGAATTAGTTGTGGAAACTCTTAACAAGCTGAGCGTAGAAACAGCCCTACAGGAATGGGACAAGTGGGAGCTAAGCAGAGTACAGAGGCTGGGTAAAAAGAAGGAGTCAAAAATTAGACCTATCTTGATAACATTAACCCTCACATGGAGAAGAACTGAAATTCTTAAAAATAAAAGTAAGTTCCCGAAAAACATATATGTAACAGAAGACTTCCCAAAGGATATCTTGTTAAAACGTAAAGAGTTAAAAATCAAAATGAAAGAAGAAATTGCCAAAGGAAAGAAAGCATATATATCTTACGATAAACTTGTCGTAAACGAGACACAGAAAGACAAGCGGAAACGTTCAGAATCATGCTCACCAAATGCTCCATCTACCAGTATTTCCCATAATCCTCAAAAAAAATAAATAAAGTCATGGATTATTTTAACAAGAAACCAAAATCAATATCAGAAAACAAGCAATAGCAATTAGTAAAAGATCCCTACCAAAGTGCAAGATTTCAAAATAAAACAAACATAAAAATAAATAAAAAATACAAAAACCCCACTCCGGCTGGTCACCGTGGGGTGTGCGACCAACACCCTCTAATTCTTCAACAAAGTAGCTTAAAGTTCAACATATGTACTCTAAATACTAGAACTTTGAGGACAATAGAAAGCTTACAAGAATTGGAACTAGCATTAGAAGATCTCAACTGGGATTTATTGGGTATCAGTGAAATGCGACGCGTGGGGGAAGGAATAGTAGAAAATTCAGATTATGTCATGTACTACAAAGGCGAAGTCAGTGGCCATAGGGGAGTAGGATTTCTCATTAAAAATAATTATAAGAGAGACATAATCGAATTTATTGGTGTCACAGATAGAATAGCTGTCGTTCGCCTCAAAATTCCTACATATTTGAAAGAATGGGTAATAATACAAGTATATGCACCTACCGAACAGGCCGAACAGTTAGTAGTGGACTCCTTTTATAATGACCTCTCAGAAACAATTGGAATGTACTCTAACAATCATATTGTAGTAATGGGAGATTTTAATGCTCAAGTAGGAGAAAAACAAACAGAGGAAGAATTTACAATTGGAAAATATGGCTACGGAAAAAATACAATGAATATAACAAACCTCTGTATATCGCTTTTATTGATTACAGAAAGGCATTTGATAGTCTGAAACATAGCTATATATGGAAAGCTCTACAACAACAAGGCATACACTACTCTTATATACAAATAATACTAAATATATATTCAGAAAGCAAAGCCAAAATAAAATTAGAAACCTTGGGTGGTTCATTCCCAATAAATAAAGGAGTACGACAGGGAGACCCATTATCTCCCAAACTATTCTCAGCTGTGTTGGAAAGCATTTGCCGTAAACTGAACTGGGAAGGCTTTGGACTCAATATAAATGGATCCTATTTGACTCACCTACGTTTTGCAGACGACATTGTACTCTTCGAAGAAAGTCCTATACACCTTGAAACTATGATTCAAAGTCTGTCAAACGAAAGCAAAACAGTGGGTCTGTCAATGAATACTGCAAAAACCAAGATCCAAACCAACTCAATGGAGATTGACGTTGGTTTGGACGGTGGGTGCTTGGAGTATGTGGAAGAGTATGTTTACCTGGGACAAGTGGTGTCTTTTAGAGATCAGACAGATAAAGAAATAAACAAAAGAATAGCCAGTGGATGGAAGAGATACTGGTCTCTGAGAGAGACAATGAAAAACAAGAACATACAACTGTCAACAAAAAGAAAGACATTTAATACTTGCATTCTGCCGTGTCTGACATACGGATGCGAAACATGGGCCTTAAACAAAGAACAGCGGGACAAATTGCAAAGATGTCAAAGAGCCATGGAGAGAAGTATGTTAGGGATAAACAGAAAAGACAGACACAGATGTGAGGATATAAGAGCAAAAACTAACTTGACAGACATTCTTGTGCAGATAGACCAACAAAAATGGAGATGGACTGGGCACATGATTCGAAGCAAACCTGAAAAATGGAATACTTATGTAACTGAATGGTATCCAAGGGAAACAAAAAGAAAAAGAGGTAGACCACAGAGACGCTGGGAGGATGAAATCAAGCTGACAGCAGGCCCCTACTGGAGAAGAGCAGCCCAAAATAGAGTACACTGGAAGGAATTAGAGGAGGCCTTTGCCATAAGGCACTCTAGGCATAATATAGAAAATGGAATTAATAATTAAACATTAGAAAAAAAAATAAAAATTAAACTACTTAACAAACAATAATAGCAAAAAATATATATAAAAATAATAAATTTATAGTATAATATTACTATATTATATGAATGAACAGGAATGTAAAAAAAAAAAAATGTGTGTACAGAAATAAAGGCTTCTTTATCTTACATACACCAAAATAACAATTTTTATAATTTTTGTTTGACTGTTCTTTTGTTCTGGCTAACCATTGAAATGGATGGATCAATTTTGATGGGACTTTTTTGGCAGGTAGCTGATGTAATAAGGAGTACTTAACTTAGGCTACTTTTATTTTAGAAAAATAAAGTTAAATTCCATGTGGATGAGGTCACAAGTACACCTAGTAAATGCAATATAATTCATACCAAAGTTATAATTTTGTTTACAGTTGTGAATGGTACACATGAGTCTGCACGCGGCACTCCTGTGTGTCCCCTGGGAGTGTTGCAGGCCCTGAGGGCAGCAGGCTGGGTGGTGCCTGCCGACCAGCAAGATGCACATGAACTGATGCATGTGCTGCTCTCCTGCATTGAGGAGGAGACTACTGCTATGGCTCGTAAGGTATTTGAATTGAATAAAAATTATTTATTTAATAATTTACATTGAAGTATTTTTTTAATAGTCATTACTATTATTTAACTGTCTAATTTTCTTTAAGCTCATTTAGAAAACTGTCTCTTGGTAAACAGAACGATCAATGGGTTTTTTTGGGGGTTTGGGCTATTGTCAGGTGGTCTACATAGATCTATTGTGCTTGCCTTGTTTCAAAGTTTACTAAAATAGACCCATCAGGGACAAGAATTTAAGGATATTCTTAGAAGTTATGGGTTCAGAACTGTCTGAAGAGACAGTTATTCTATAGAATATCACTCTACCTATGATGTAATTTTTACCACATCTGCTCATAGTCATTGACTGATTGCGAGATTCAAGAAAAAAATAATTTTAACATGTCCAAACTCCAATAGAGCTTTAATAGTTGAGAAAGGAAAATAAGCTTCAGTGTTATTTAAAATTAAATATTTTAAATTGCAAGTTTATACAACAAATGTATCTTTTTGTCAAAGAGAAACACAAAAGAGTATAGAATTAGAAATAAAACAAACTAAAAGGATTAGGAAAGTATATATTGAATACCAATTATTACAGCCGGGTTGCCTGTCGGATGCGTTGGGGCTGAACGGTGCGCGCGCGTGGTCGGCGCTGGCGTCCCCCGCGTCTCCCCCCGCGGGCCCCGCGCCCCCGGGCCCCGCGCCCCCGGGCCCCGCGGGCCCCGCGGGCCCCGCCCCCGGGGGCGCCGCCCGCGCCGGCTCCACGCCGCCCACGCCCTCCGCGCTAGTCGCGCGCCCGGCGTCCGCCGCGCCGCCCGACGAGCCAGACCTTGTCGATCCAGGTATGTTTTATAAATGAAAGAATAGATATTAATAAATATACGATTTTCAAAACAGATTTTTTTAGATATACATACATATGAAATAAATATTTCATAAAATATACTCATAGGTACTTGCTTGAAAAAAAAAATAATCAGTTTAATACAGCAAAACTTACTACATCCACCAAAACCACAAAAGTGTAATGTTATTTAATTAAAAATAATTAATTTTATTTAAATATATTGTGATGATTTAAAAACTAGCTAAATGACAAAAAAATTATGATTCAACAAATCAATATCATACCATTACCTCATTACAGCTGGTAACACTGAAAATTTTACATTTACACCTGTCAATTCAGTCTCTGTGATTAAAAAACAGTCAGACGCTGGCGAAATCACCGATCAAAGTTGGTGACAGTCATGTAAAATAAAGACCAGAATGAAAAAAAAGAAAAAAAAGAGAAAAAATAGACTAGGTATGGTCAAATATGTGATATATATCGCAGACCCCCCCGAGCCGGCGCGGCTCACGAAGGGCGTGTCTCGCTCGTTCTGCCACCTGAGCTCCGTGGGGCGGCGCTGGGGGCTGCCCCCCGCGCGGCCCCCGCCGCCCCCCGCCGCCCCCTTCCGCGGCACGCTCGCCTCGCGCCTCCACTGCACAGTCTGCAACGCCAAGGTAACCAACACCAAGCGATGCGTTCGGGACGACGTCGACAGTTAACGATAGAGGAGACCTAAGTAGATTTAGTAAATATGTACTGTGCTATACTTGGAGGGCTACAATAAAAAAAAACAAAACATAAAGAAATAACACCAGTCCCCAAGTGTGGTACTCGCTCAAAGATAGTAAGTGACTTGGGGCTGGTTATAACTTAGGAGTAACTAAGTTAATGTAAATATTTTTAAGTATAACAAATCCCTAGCTTAGATATTAGAATTTAAGTTAGTTTTAAGAACCCGCCGCAAAAGGCTGGCCATCCAGTTACCTGAGGGCTATTACCCCTGGAGTTGATACCGGGGCAAAAGGGGCTCGCACCGAGACCCAACCTTCACCCCCTAGAGGATGAAAACCAGTATCAAATTACAATACCATACTCAATATGAGTTCATTATACTTAATACGTTTTTTGTATACAAATTTTGTTGTGTAAAAAAGGGAATCAAAAAACAAACTTGGATTGGGTCATCCCCGCGTGTAGGTGTTAAGTACCAATTTCCACTGTCTTGAACAAATACTTGAAAATGTAAAATTATAATGATCGCTGGTTACTTTGACAGAGCCCGGTCCGGTACGACAAGTTCGACAGCATCTCACTGTCGATGTCTAACGCCAGCGTTGGACTCACCGGCTCCTACAGTTTACCTGGTCAGTGCTGATAATTATTTATCTAAGATTATATAGTAATATTCCCCTATAACACGGTAGATTGATATTCCTATAATATTATAGGAAAATGCGTTGTAGGGGTAATCCAGTATCAGCCGACGCCCCCGCGTCACCTAATGAATGAGGCCAGGAGTAAGCGGCTGAAGAGCCCGCGGTGCCGGGTTTGCGGTTGAATAGCATCTGCCCCCGCATCCCCGGCACCAAGGCGCCGGAGGACACCAAGGTGTTTTAGCCGGCAGGAGTCCGGCAGTATGGAGATCCGCACGTCTTGGGGGAGACGTGCGGATCTCCATGATGGATTTCCTCTTGTAAAAAAAAAGTCCCGTATAACGCGATTTTACGACCCATATGTAAGAAATAATTTATATGTCTATATAATATCTTTATGAATTGATTAAATAGGAAACTATCAAGTATTGTACTGACTATACACCGCCATCTTACAATTAGTTAGATTAGAGACATTCGTGTTTATTTCATAACTTATTTATATAATAAAAATCGAATAATGATACAAAAAAAACAGCAAGGAAATGATAATTAATTATGTTATTTTCTAAAACTATTTTAAGTATTATATGTTCCACTATTTTGTATAATTGTAGTGTAATGATAGATAGAGGAAAGGAATGAAACGACTACCCTTCTTCTTAAAAAGGGGTAATCGGTTCAGAAAGTTGGTTAGTTACGCGCTGGAGTTAGAACAAAGAGAAACTTTGAATAAACGGCTTGCATATAGATTCACTGTTTTTATTATTGCCACCTGATTTCTTATACATATAACGCGTTACGTAGAAATTATTAATGTTTAATTTTTCTCTCTATAGGGGGTTTAAATTTAATATTAAGAAAAAACTTTATTGTGAGTTATGTGAGCGTGTGAGTATGATGGGATCAGACTAAGTGGCAAAATCACGAACTTTGTTATCTGACAGAGAACAAAAGTTTAAAATGGAGTTGGACATATGCTAAAGGTGCAAAATAAATAAATGGAGCAAGCAAGTGAGTGTCCGGTATCCCAGAGACGGGACCAGAAGACAGAGTCGTCAAAGAATACGTTGGAAAGTCGACGTCAACCAGACTCTGGGACCGTTCTGGTATAGGGTTGCAGAAACAGAGTTCAATGGAGAGAGCTGGAGGAGGCCTATGCCAAAAGACCACATCTACCACAACTTTGGGAAAAAGGGCAATATCGCACCTCTAGATCTAAACAGGTATAAACTCAAAAAAACTCATTTTACAGGAAAGGCAAAAAACTGATTGCCAAGTCCCTGTGCTTTGCAGAAGTTTTTTTGTATAGATGTGTGAACGTTAGTTACAGTTGGATATGATAAATATCAAGATTCTTGGGTTTTAATAAAGGGTTGCAGCTTAATATTGAATTTTTATAGTTGTTTCTTTATAGCATATCAATGAGTGTATATTGTCGCTGTTTTCGATGCGTGGGAGGTGGGATCGCTCGTTCAACAAAATAGGTATACAACGTCACCTAACGTTGAATATGGGAAATAATTTTGTACCTGCTTTATTGGTCGATAGGTATTGAAATGACAAAGTCGAAGATGTCCAGAACACAAAAATTAAGAGTTTTGATTTAGTTCCCTTTAGATCTAGAGGTGCGATATTATTATATTGTAAACGAAAATGTATGTCTACGCCTTTTAATACAAACAATTTGACAAAATCATTTTATATTATATATAATAACACAATTGACACATGTACACACACAGACACACGCGCGCACCTAAGTAATTATAAACTGTACAAATCATTATAAATTTCACAGTACAGAAATATAATGTGGGGTATCCCCGCGTCACATGGGGGAATACCCTTGTTATACGGGGGTTTGTCGCGTAATATGAAAACTCATAAGAGTACAGTGTTACTTTACTTATTTTCCAACTCTCGATTTCTATATATCTATATAATGTGATGTCTTTATAGGTCTGTTGCGAGCGTTCACTGCGCCTGAGATGGTGAAGGGCGTCCGCTGCAGCAAATGTTGTCCCGAGCGACCCCCCGACGACCCCACCGCGGCCGCCACCACCGGGCTCCCCACCAAGCACATCCGCACGCTCAGCTTTGGAAAGGTATAAAAATTAACATTACCTAAAATGGCAATAATTGTATCAAATCATTTATTCAAGTAGGACATTTTAGCAGCTTATGAACGTCAAGATTTGTTATTAATATTTTTTCCCTACCGTCCAGTTCAGTATACAGATTCAATTGAGAAGAACTGGCAACAAATTCAACTGAATTTCTTTTGTTTGTAAAAGTCTGTTTATTTACATTATTCACTTATATAAGTATCTATGTCTAACATTAAATATCACGGTGTTCTGAGGACTTCGGTTCGGTGAGGTTCGGATTAATACCAGCTGCTGAGTTTCACCACCGTACCAGTCAGAAACTGAAATACCATCCTGATCATCTGGATGAATGGCGGTCCTCCACAGTGCGGTTTTCTAGAAACTTTTTGCCTCGCACAACCACATTGTGGAATCGTATCGTACGTACTTGCAATTCCCCTGGTGTTGCGGGTGCTCATGGGCGGCGGTAATCACTTATCATCAGGTGAGCCGCATGCTCGTTGGTCTCCTGTGTTATAAAAATAAAAAATTAAATGAAAATTCCGTGCATGAATGACAGCCCCATAGTCTAGTGCGTTTCAAATGATATATTTGAAATACAATTTAGAAAACAAAATAAAAAATTAATGTTAGTATATAAAAGTGCTGACGTAATATGTAGTTAAAACTCACAAGAGTTTAATCTATTTTATTGTATCCATTTAGTGAGGGCTTATGTGATATTTTATAGGAAAGGTGATGGTTAGTACTGTGGATTAATAACCCCCATAGCTAGCAATGAACCATGTCAAGTTGATCACCATTTCCAGGTTCCTCCTGGGAACCATCATGTTAAATTGACAAACTCGGTGGTCTAGTGGTTTAGCACACCGCTTTAATATCCGATGGTCGTCGACTCCTCGCACGGTACAAACATTGTACCGTGCGAGGTATACAAACATTGTATTCATGAGTATGCTTGTTTGTATCGGTCTTGATGTTTTCTATGTATAATATGTATGTATTTACAAAAAAAATGTATCCATGTATTTATATCAGTTGTCTAGTACCCATAACACAAGCTCTGCTTAGCTTGGGACTAGATGGCGCTGTGTGAATTGTCCTGAGATATTATTATATATATATATTATATCTCCCTTCTTAGGGGCTAATATATTCAAACAAATTATTATTATTATTATTATTAAATTCCTGGTGAATTTATCACGATGGTCCAACTGACCTGACCTCATATCCTACCGGTGCCTCGTGTGTACCGTTAGCGCAGGTCAGTGTACCATTCCATTAATAATAATATAGCCTTTTCTCCCAAAGTTGGAGAACATTGTGTGGTTTATAAAGTCACCTGCAACTCGGTGTGCCTTTTAGGCTTCCACCAGCGATCTCCATTGAACACTGTCTTCAGTCACCGTTCCATTATCATCCCTTAAAAATATATATGATGTTTTTCCCGATATGTTATGATGACTATGAAATAACTATGAAATATATGAGTGTGGTAACTGTGTGTGTGTGGTAGTTGCCGTGCTGCCTGTGCGTGCACGTGTCGCGCGTGGAGTGGGCGGGCGGCGCCCTCACCAAGCGACCAGACCACGTGGCCTTCCCGGAGACGCTCTCCATGGCGCCCTACGCCGCCCTGCCGCAGAACAAGGTCACACGCCTTTTGTATATTCACAAATATCCCGGACAAGGTTACACGCCTTTTGTATATTCACAAACATGCCGGACAAGGTCACACGCCTTTTGTATCCTCACAAACATGCCGGACAAGGTCACACGCCTTTGTATCTTCACAAATGTCCCAAACAAGGTCACACTCCTTTGGTATCTTCACAAACATCCCGGACAAGGTCACACGCCTTTTGTATCTTCACAAATATCCCGGACAAGGTCACACGCCTTTTGTATCCTCACAAACATGCCGGACAAGGTCACACGTCTTTTGTACCTTCACAAACATCCCGGACAAGGTCACACGCCTTTTGTACCTTCACAAATATCCCAAACAAGGTCACACGCCTTTTGTATAGAAACCCTTTCGAATACTGCCTGACTCCTATAGCTGTCATCATACGACACGTTCTCTCTCGCGCTATCAGTGTGCGCTTTTTAGCGCAGGAAAGACATCGCGCAATCGTGAGTGATACACATTTGTCTCCACTCTTTCCCGCGTCATTTTACTTTCTTTAATTTATATTTTATTAGCTATTCGCCCCGGCTTCGCACGGGTGTACATTTATTATATATATAATCCTTACTCTTGGTAAGAAAGGGAGTAAATAACGCGATGACTGCGAACAGGGATGAATGGAAGCGAAAAACATATTACGCCGACCTCAAATAAATGGGATAAGGAAGAAGCAGATGATGATGATGATAATCCTTACTCTTGAATCAGAGTACTAAGAATCCGTTGCGTAGTTTTTAAAGATTTAAGCATACATGGGGACAGACAGCGACAGCGACAGCGACTTTTTTTTATACTATGTAATGATTAAGACATGTTCGTGTGCAGCCGGAGTTAGTGTCGCTGGTCGACGGGCGTCTGCGCAGTGGTCTGTCAGCATTGAATGCTGGCAACCCTGGAGCTGGTGCAGCAGCAGGCGGCGAGGACCGCGCGCTGTACCGGCTGGTGGCCGTCGTGGTGCACGTGGGCGGCCCCAGGTCCGGACACTTCGCTACCTACCGCAGGGGGAACGGATTTGAGGCTAAAAGGTAATTTTTTTATTCTATTTATGTTGTAAATATGTTAATATGTGACGATTATATTATTATTATTCATCACATACTTAAAACTGATGCCGTTACGGCCTGTGGTCTAGCGGTTCAGCACACCGCTTCACTTGCTATTGTCGCGGGTTCGATTCTTTGCATGGTACAAACATTTGTAATTATTCATGAGTATGATTGTTTGTATCGGTATGTGTGTTTTCTATGTATATTATTTATGTTATAGGTACTAGACAACTGATATAAATATTTAGATATATTTTATCTGTAAATACTATACATATAAATAAAATTGGAGTGTCTGTTTGTAATATTGAAATAACCGTTTTTACTACATTTATATGAATATAAATACAGTACACACACCAAAATAACATTGTCTAGAATTTTTGTCTGTCTAGCTGTCTGTTTGTTTCGGCTAATCTCAGAAATGGTTGGACCGATTTTGACGGGACTTTTATTGGCAGATAGCTGATATAATAAGGAGTAACTTAGGCTACTTTTATTTTAGAAAAATAAAGTAATGTTGTAAAATTCCACGCAGACGAAGTCGAGCGTACAGCTAGTTATATATATTACTAACTTCTAGATTTATTTCAATTAAAGTTTTTATATTATATATAAAAAAATTGAGCCACAGCAACGCGTGGTCGGGTCTGCTAGTATACCATAAAAACTACTTGTATTTGTGACCTAAATATTGGTTGATGCACAGATGGTGGTACACATCAGACACCCTGGTGCACGAGGTGTCCCTGCAGGAAGTGTTACGGTGTTCCGCCTACATGCTGTTCTACGAGCGCGCCCGGCCGGACCTCTCCGTCGGACACTCGCCCGCGCACTCGCAACTCTTCTAAATACTTCAGCTGCTGAAGGTACTACCAGTTGAGCTGATCTTGCCTTCTTCGTCCAAGTAGTACATATAACTCTTCTAATCCCCACCTCTTCAGCTGCTGAAGATACCAGTTGAGCTGATCCTTCCCTCTTCGCCAAGTAGTACGTGCAACTCTTCTAAACTCCTCTTCACCTGCTGAAGATACCAGTTGAGCTGATCCTTCCTTCTTCGTCCAAATAGCACTGGTAATTCTTCTAAACTCCTCTTCAGCTGCTGAAGATACCAGTTGAGCTGATCCTTCCTTCTTCGTCCAAGAAGTACGTGCAACTCTCGTAAAGTCCTCTTCAGCTGCTGAAGATACCAGTTGAGCTGATCCTTCCTTCTACGTCCAAGTAGCACTGGTAATTCTTCTAAACTCCTCTTCAGCTGCTGAAGACACCAGTTGAGCTGATCCTTCCTTCTACGTCCAAGTAGCACTGGTAATTCTTCTAAACTCCTCTTCAGCTGCTGAAGATACCAGTTGAGCTGATCCTTCCTTCTTCGTCCAAGTAGCATTGGTAATTCTTCTAAACTCCTCTTCAGCTGCTGAAGATACCAGTTGAGCTGATCCTTCCCTCTTCGTCCAAGTAGTACGTGCAACTCTTCTAAACTCCTCTTCAGCTGCTGAAGATACCAGTTGAGCTGATCCTTCCTTCTTCGTCCAAGTAGCACTGGTAATTCTTATAAACTCCTCTTCAGCTGCTGAAGATACCAGTTGAGCTGATCCTTCCTTCTTCGTCCAAGTAGCACTGGTAATTCTTATAAACTCCTTTCCAGCTGCTGAAGGCACAAGTTGAGCTGATCATTCCCTCTTCGTCCAAGTAGTACGTGCAACTCTTCTAAACTCCTCTTCAGCTGCTGAAGGTACAAGTTGAGCTGATCCTTCCTTCTTCGTCCAAGTAATACTTGTAATATATTTATAGATGGTTGAAAGGATTCTTTCATTGCTCAATTGTGTTGCATTTTCATGTCATGATCGGTTAGAAATAGAGTTGTTCTATTATAGTATATAGCTGCCTTTATACGTACTCTCTTTCTTTCACGCAAGGAAGAATGTATATGTAAATGTAGAGAAAGAGAACGAGGAAAACCGCGCGCGCAAATAGAGAACCGCACCCCCGTGTTAGTGCGTGTTTAGCGCCATTTTGTAATAGTTAATTATCATTCCAAAATGGCGGATATCTGACTACAGAGTATAATTATAGAGTTATAGATAATTTATAAATCTTAAACGTGTCTCTGGAAAATAAAATCTGTGAATAAAAAAATAATGTTTTAAAAGAAAGTGAAATGACATGAAAGATACTAGTTATCACACCCGTAAAGGGATTTTTTATAAGAAAATATAAGTCTGGGTTGGTAAATAAGACGTTGTTTATTTTTAATTACAGCGTGATAGAATATAAGGATATCTTTCTATAGCGAAGCAGTTTTGTTTTTTTTTCGGACTACTCTAATGCTGTTGGCCACAGCTGGCCTTTATAGCTTCACCGGACGATAGGGGGCGAGAGCAGATGGCACTCCAAACCAAAGGAAGGACTTATGGAGCGGCTGAAGGCCAACTCCCGCCTGACGTATACGACTTTAGTCTGATGGCACCACTAGGAGTTCGAACCACGGCTCAGGCCGTCGTAATATCGATCCCCGTTTGAATTGGACGGAGGATCGATCGGCCGAGTGCAGTAGAGAGACTTATATAGTGCCATCTCTGTTATACAGTTTTAAGTATGGTCATTATAAGAAAACTAAATTGACGGTAGATTTGACATATCATAAGAGTCTGTAATAGACTAAAGATATTTTGAATTTGAATATGAATTTTTGAAATTGATCTAGTGAAATAAATGTTGCCATATAAAATTATATTTAACAGTCCGTAATAATGAACATATATTTTTTTTAATGCAATCACTGGCGATTGCGCGCGCTGACTTTCCCGCGCTAAATCATATGCGCTCTTGATTACCCATGAAAGAACGTGTCGTGTAAAGGCAGTTTTACAGGCGAGAAACCATTCTCATATTTATATTATATAATAATATATTAATGGCTGACTGATTTTGAGGTTTTGGTGGGAAATAGTTTCGTTGTAAAATGTACTTTTAGCAACTACAATATAAGAGTCATTATTGTATTGCAATTAGTTGAAAGATGGTATTGTTAAACGGTTTTAAATCAAATCACAGTAGTTAAAAAAATCGTTTGGAGTTATTGTAATATTTATTATATATATTAAATTTTGTTAGCATGTACATAATATATGTTTAGAGGGAGAATTTAGTAATGTGAATATTATTTTGATAATTGAAGCTATATTAATATTGTGAGTTTAAAGCGACATTTATATAGGGGGCACAGCTGTACAGCTAGTATAGCTGTGCCCGCGACTTCATCCGCGTGAAATAACGACCTTGGCCAAAAAATGTTTCATAATCTAACCCAGAAAAGCTAAAGAAAAAAGTTCCATCGTTCTACCTACAAAAATAACGAATTTTCATACAAATTTTCATCCCCTATTTTATTTAAGAGTAAAATTTTTACACACTGTCATATTTACTTATATTTAATCAACAGCTCAAATAATAATTTTCAAACTTCTAAAAATGGCGATACTTCGATACAATCTTTCATCTCCTCTTTCAACCCCTTACAACCCTTTTTTCGCTTCAATAAGTAGCCTATGTCCTTTCTCAAGATCTAGACTATCTGTGTACCAAATTTCAATTATATCGGTTCAGTAGTTTAGGCGTGGAAGCGAGACAGACAGACAGACAGAGTTATTTTCGCATTTACAATATTAGCAAAGAAGTAAGGATAACAAATGTCTCCCTGTGTCAAACATTGAAGAAAACTAACCACTTTAGCTTAAAATAGGCGTACACGTCTGTATAAATTCTCTTGTTTTGGGTATGGTCTGGCAAGGGGTGAAGGCGAGGGGTGGAAGGATGGGTGCGGCACATTGTGAAATATGTAGCAATAAAAAAGACGAAGACGAAGCGTGGGCCTCCAGCAAGGTGGACCGACGATCTGGTCACGATCGCTGGAAAGCATTGGATGCGAGCAGCGCAGGACCGATCGTCGTGGATATCTTTGGATGAGGCCTATGTCCAGCAGTGGACGTCTTCCGGGCTGCGATGATGATGTGATGATGAAAAAATTAATATTTTAAAGGCGACACGCGAAATCTTCTGGGAAAGAAACTGAGCGACCGAACTGTAGTTATTATTATTAAGATTCTAAAAGAGGCTACCTTCAACGTTGGCATGTGATCCTAATTGATATATTATTATTTTGGTATTTTTTAGCATATGTCCCGTCGTATGTACTTTGTTGTTTCCGTCCGCTGCATTTTCAGCCGGAACGGCTACATATTTGTCTTTATACTGTTTTAATTCATTCTGTATGTTTCCTGTTGTAAATTCAGATTTTTTTCTTTCTTAATGTAGTTGTACCTTGGCTGTGGGTAAATATATATATAAATAGCGACTTCGTTCGCGTGGAATTAAAATAAATGAAAACATCTAAAAATAAAACTAGTCTAAGTCACGCCATATAATATTAGCTATCTGCGCAGGCGCGGAACTACATAAGGGCTTTTGGGGCTGCAGCCCAGGGCCCCGAGGATATAAAGGGCTGTCAGTCCCCACTGAAACGATATTTTGAATATAAAAAAATATCTAGAATGTCCAAAGTGAAAAAACCTATCATAGGGTTGGCAACCCTGAGATCAATATTATTTTGGTGTATGTACCGTATTTATATTCATATGCATGTAGTAAAAAACTGTTATTTCAATATTACAAACAGACACACAAATTTTATTTATATGTAAAGATATATATATTTATTATATATTTACTCACAAACTTCCGCGTTTATAATATTAGTAAGATACTTGCATTTATGTCTGTCCATTTATTGCTCATTGGTTGGTTTGTGTGTTTGTTTACACGATTATAACACTGATAGAAGTCTGAATAGTCATCATCATCTATCATCATATCATCATCGGTCTAGAACCTGAGAAAGGACATAGGCTACTTTTAAACGCGATGTAAGGGTTGTAAAGGGTTGAAAGAGGAGATGAAACGGTCTATTGAAGTATCATCGTTTTTAAAGCTAGAAGCTTCCAACTTATTTTTTAAGCTTTTGACTATCAATATGACATCCAAGTTTGTACGAATTTTACCCTTAAGGGGCTAAAATAAAATAGGGGATGAAATTCCTCATTCGTCCTCTATTCCTTGCGAACGAAGTCGCAGGCACAGCTAGCATATATATATAATATGATTTTTATTATTAAGTTAACTAATTGATATATTTTGATTTATGTATATAATATTTTATATATGTAGAGCTGATCTAGCAAATGTTGTTTTGCCATATAAATTAAAATCGCTGTTAAAAAATATGGGGGTTGGTGATAGAAGGGTGAAAATGTAGGGTTGTATGTATTTTTAATGCCACATTATAAAAATTATAAAAAATTGTCCAAAGAATAAAATAAAATGTTAGGGGTGGACAACCCTTATCAGTTAGGGGTATGAAAAATAGATAGTAGCCGATTTTTAGATCTGCTGAATAGGCATATAAAATTTAAAAGAATCGGTCAGGCCGTTTCGGTGGAGTATGGTAACTAACATTGTGACACGAGAATTTTATATATAAGATATAATTACATTGAATAATAAAATAATATGTAAAATATATATTTTAAATATACACAACGTTAATACGCACAATATAATAATATTAATATTTATTTGTACTTAAAAACTATATTATTTAAATTAGAACAAACTGTCACTTCATCGACTGTTACATGACACATTAATTTATTTACAAACTCACTAGATGGCGTTGTAAATATTTATCTGTAACTTTATGGTGTTCTAAAACTCGCTATAATTATTTTTTTCCTGTATATTACAAATATTAAGTGACATGGTGTATATAGTATACCAACAGATTGACAAATTAAAGTTTTACTAAATAATATAATATGTATTTAATAAAATACTAACAGTGTGTATTACTCTTGAGCTGTCTCTATTTATCTATATACTTCACGTTCACGAGTATGAT